CTTGGGTATAAACATACCCTTGGGTATGGGTAAATGGAACTTGGGTATGGGTACGAGACCTGTACCCAAATGGGTACCCATGTCCAGGTCTAATATAGATCGCCAGCTAGCTGAGGAAATCCATATGAAGAATGATAGTTTGAAGCATGTGAAACCAAGAAAATGATGTTGTGGTAGCTGTGGCAAGCCTGGACATAATGCATGCACCTGTCAAGAAGATGAAGAGGTATTTGATGAGTATAATTCTGACTAGACTTAATTGATTATCTGTGTTGTGGCAAATTACGGTCGTGAACAATATCATGGTGGTGGTTAGGTGCATCATTCGCTATGCTGCGTTGTTCGCTATGCTGCGTCGTTCGCTATGCACCTACGTTAAATAAAAACCAAATTACAAGCATTCAGGATGCTGCAAATGCATTTGATGTCAAATACTCTTAGACTGCGACACGATCCGCAAAATATCCAAATTATACATACCCAAATCCACAAGTTTGCGGATTTGGATAACATTTGACATCCCCATATCCGTGCGGATATGGATTTGGGTCCATGTGGATATGTAATGTAATCCACGGCCGAGTTTACAGGTTACAGGTCACCTGTGTACTCGTACAATGGCGGGCAGATGTACGCCAAGATGAGCTGAGTCCATCAGCGGCATGAGCTGAAGTCATCAGCCGCATCCTGTCCTAACATTGCAACTGCATAGACTACATACCATATAACTCTTTATCTGTTGCATGATAATACTTTGAGAGTTTTTTCTTCGCGGCTCGAAGTGCCCGCAGCATTCCCTTCTTCCAGGGAACAGCTTTGCGTTTCAGTTTCTTCTCAGCAGCATCAAGGTGGCTAAAGAGCTTGTCACAAATGCTGAAAACATGGTGAGCCGTAACATCCTGAGTCCTTAATAGGGCATTAGGCAAATCAAAGAAAAGCTTTGTGATCAAACACAGATAATCTACTTGGCGCCATTCTTCTTGGTCAAGTGTTAGAACTTGTGTAGCACGGAGGCCGCAGCGCGACCTCCGCAGTGCGGACTTATGCATTATTACCCATCGTCTATTCATGTACATAGATAACAGGTCACATGACTAATGCCAGTCATGTGACCGCCGCGAGAATACTTTGCGGCGCTGGTGGTTGGACTTTAGACACCAGCGATTAGTCTCTTGAACACTACGCATATAGTCCGCAGTGCGCTCATCACGCTGTCTCAATCCCAACTGCTCTAACATCAAGCTTGAATTGGACATATTGATGTATTGTGCAGTACTGGTCAAAGACCTGTTGGAGCTTCCTATCATGGTCAAGCATCAAGAAAGTAGAATTCCAGCGCGTGCAAACATCTTGAACTAGAAGAAGCTCTGGCACTGCAGTCTGTAGAGCCATAGAAGCTTCCCGGTGCATCAGGCCACTCAGACTGCCCAAAAGGATGTTTGTGTCCAGATGTCCGGTGAAGAAAGGAACCCAAATATTATCTTCAAGTAAAATCCATCACTGGCTCCTGGATTGCTCTCTTTGATATCAGCAAGGACCAGTATTAAAGGGTATGTCTAATGCATCAACAACCCGCCAGGAGCTAATACCGAAGCAAACTAGTCGCGAGGCATTTCTATAGAGAGAGCAAGGGATCATCCAACATTGCACAGCACCGCGTAATTTCAATCCTTTGAGACCTTGCCCTCTTCCCATCTCGCCAATTGAATTCTGTCATTCAATCATACCGCCGATGGGCCGGGTTCAACGAAAGAAAATCCGACTCCATCATTCTACCGGTCGTCCGCTGTAGGTTGTTCATCTAAGTCCTGTAGATCAGGCTGACCTGCATAACCTGAGAGCTACGTGTAATGATTGACATGGCTTGAAGTGGAGGAGCTGAGATTCCTGTATCCACCCACCTGGCTACTTAACTGAGCAGACTGTCTTCTTTTCGTTGACCCCCGAAGGGTTTTAACACATATTTCATAGGTCTCTTGTTTCTATCCGAAGTTTCAGCACTGATTGCTCCAAACAGCCACCATGGTCGACTTTATTGATGTTCATGCCTCTGGTAAATACGGAAATGCCGCATACTCGACTCGTGATCTGCGACCGGGAGATATTATCCTACGCGAAGCCCCTTTATTGGTTGTTCAGCCACCCCCTAATGGCAAAGGTGTTTCTTTCCTGGATTCCATATTCAACGCGAAGAACATTCCCGCGAGCAGCATTGAGCATGAAATTCAGAAGCTAAGCCCGGTGCACAAAGCGGAGTTAAGAAAGATTGCCTGTGAGGAAGACACTGATATCTCCCGGTTTATGAGTTGCCACTATGATATTCGACCAAAGCAAAATGAGGCACCCACGGCCTTTGGGCTTTTCCTCAAGGGATCCTATATTAATCATTCTTGTCAGCCAAATTTGTTGTATTTTTGGGATGAAAAGATGGAAAGCATGACATGGGTTGTCTTGAAACATATTGTGGCAGGGCAGGAGGTCAATATCTCCTACCTACCGATGTTTGATTGGCAGGAAGTTAACGAGAGGAGGGCTCTTCTCCAAAATATATTTCCCTTTGAGTGCAATTGTATGCTGTGCGAGAAGGAGAGCTCAAATCCTACAGTGTTTGCCCACCAGCACAAGCTCCGTGACCTGCATATGGCGCTCATCAACATAGCCTCGAGCCAAGATGGAAATACTCGTTCATTCAGTCTGGATCTACAGCATCTTGTTGGCGCTTACCTAGCTGCGATTACCCAGGAATTGCCGCCAGGTCAGACACTTGATCCAAGACTCTACCGGGCGTTAGTAAAATACCTGCCACTATGTTGTTACATGCTGATTATCAACAGATACTATCTGGCAGCTTCCATTTACTCTCAATCTGGAAATCCGGAAAAGGGCGTATTGCTGGGCTCTAAAGCTACTGTTCTGGTTGACCAGCTCTATGGAAAACACTCCCCACAAGGGCAGCACGAGTTGGAATTCTGCAAACAGTTATATTCACTTTAAAGGTCTCCAATTCATGTATCCTAGCATTTAGTATAGTGGGCTATATTACTTCGCCTAGTCTTCCGCGCTAATTCCTTCGGGTATAATGAAATACACCTCTGCTACCTTATCTAGCATACTGTTAGGGGCTAAGCCCACAGCGCTAATAACTAGCTATCATACAAGAGGTTTCGTTGAAGGAAAGAAGAACGGATGGCCCATCAGACAGCCTTTTATATACAAAAGTACGTTATGCGGGGTAGTAGTCAAGTAACCACTCTGATCATTCCTCCGACTAGCATATCATTTATTCTACAGGCGCAGCCTGTGACACATACACTCGTATATCTGTGTCCAGTTCCTAATATTGAGCGTGAGATTTGGCCTGAGCTCCTAGGTCCGGCCCCAATGGAATTGAACGCCTTTTCTGTCAATCGCTGTGCAAGGCGAACTCGATGGATGTCACCCTGAATGCCTAGCGTTTTGTATACTTTCGAATAAAAGATACCATTAAGACGAAAAGCTATAAATTGGATAAGAATGTCCTTGAAGTATCTTCCATTCATAATCAAGGAATGTTCCAGGGAAGTTGTGTCTGAGCCATGCCTCAACATAATTGTGCAACATAGTACATTTACCAGCGGCTGCTCTGAAGCGGCGAGGCCGGGATGGAAATACAACAAAAACGTACCTTCAAGGCACTGTCACAACCTGGCTTCTCTCGTATCGTACCTAGGGTTCTAGTTAGTTGTATTTAGGCTGCGGCATATCGTACGACTTGGATGTGGTCACCACATCCAAGTCCGCAAATTGCGGATGTTGGATATCATCCCGATATCCAAGTCCAACTGCGGATATCCATTGGATATCCAACAGTATATGTTGGATACCCAACAAATATCCGCACTAGCATAAAATTCGCTAATTTACCCTATTCCAGACTATCCACTAAATATCCACTTCTGCCTGAAAATACCCAATTCGTTCATTACCCTACATAAAACCTTCTCTGCCTACAGGTATATCTACGTTAGCGACCCGATATCGATTCGTAGCCGAAACGGTTGTTTGATCATATAAACGCCTAGACCCTACACTCTGGCGTTACAGTGCCGCTCGCTCGGTGTCCGATTACGTTAATTAATTTAGATGAATCAGCGATTTATGCAAAAGTATCAGGCCAAATCAGGCCAAATAAGGTGTCTTTAGGTGTCTATGGGCGACCTATGTCAATGTCTATCCATATGGTTGTGGTTGTTGTAAGTCGTGATCGAGATATCGTATATGGTTTACGATTCGAGATCAATCATTGGCTAGATCGCCTTTATTAACCGAGATGGTAAACAAAGGATGCCATTGGTCAGCTTGCTCAAGCGAGATTCGGCGGATTGACCAAATTTCAAAACGACATATTTTCCCTTATTGCTCAGGGTTACGATTGCAACAATACGAAACTCCACTTTCCCCGCCTTTGTGATGTCTCAGTTGGATCAGGTCAATCTCTTTCGCGGCTGGCCTTCTGCAGACCTCTTGCCAACGGAGCGTCTGAAGAAAGCTGCGGTAGATGCCCTGTCTAATCCAGTTATTTCCACTGAAGGATATGGCTACGGGCCCGATGAAGGGTATTTTCCGCTCAGAGAAAATATCGCGAGGTGGCTTACCGAGTTTTATAACCCCGTGCAGGCTATTGATTCGAACCGTATATGCATCACCGGCGGTGCCAGTCAAAATTTAGCGTGCATTTTGCAGGTTTTCACAGACCCAGTTCAAACGAAACACGTTTGGCTTGCAAACCCGACATACCACCTCGTCTTTCAAACCTTCGAAGATGCTGGATTCTACCAACGGCTTGGGGGGATACCGGAAGACGAAGAGGGACTGGATGTTAACGCTCTCGCTCTCGCCCTTGAAGTGTTTGAAAAGAAATTACCCGCAAACAATGAGGATACCAGACATGTAGGTCCCACGTCTAGATGGTACTGAAGTAGTTCTGATGAACCAATAAAGGAGAATATAAAATCTCCCAAACCGCATAGGAAGTCATATCGGCACATTATATACTGTGTCCCGACATTCTCGAATCCGTCCAACAAAACAATGTCAATTTCGCGACGCGAGTTACTCGTTAGGGTCGCCCGCAATTATGACGCCCTCATCGTATGCGATGATGTTTATGATTTTTTGCCATATGAACAATCCGACAATAGCATAGTCCAATCCAGCCTACCGCGCCTCGTGGACATTGATAGGTTTCTTGACCATGGCCCAAGAGAACGGTTTGGGAATGTGGTGAGCAACGGTTCATTTAGCAAATTAATTGGTGCTGGTTGTCGCGTGGGCTGGGCTGAAGGGACTAGCGATCTCGTTTATGGACTTTCTCAAACGTATTACTATCTCTCCCGTTCAACTTGTAATGGCTAACCCCCACTACAGTGGCTCTACCAGGTCTGGCGGTGCCCCGTCACAGCTCATGTCCACCTTCATAAACGAATTACTCGAGGACAAATCCCTCCAACGTCACATCGCTGAAACCATCATCCCAGCTGGTTCACGCCGGTATGCTCTGATGATATCCGCAATAAACGAGAATCTGGCATCACTCGGTGTTACCTTCCTTTCTGACACTGAACATCAGCTAGCAATCGGTGGATACTATGTCTGGATTGAACTGCCCCTCCCGTTGGATACTGCTCAAGTATGCAAAGTTGCGCTGGACCGCTACAACCTCGTCCTCGGTGACGAATGTCTGTTTACTGTGCCGAGTACCACGCCACAAACAGATAGACAACAGCATATAAGGCTGTGTTTCATGTGGGAAGCTGAAGAAAAGCTGGCTGAGGGTGTGAAAAGGCTTGGGTCTGTGCTTCAAATGTTACGCGAGAATGTCACTTTCGAGAAGTGAATAATGATAGGAATGTACACATGTTAAGCTTAATCCTGTCCATCATAAACTAATTACATAGACGGACTGCCAACAGATTATAACATCCTGCGCTATTCACGCTCTGTGGCGGATTGGAGTTGCGGCCTCCCCTCTCCAAATTAGGAAATGCGATTCGACTTTACTCAGAAGCAGGTCTACGGCGCAACTCATGGATCAAATGCAGTAAGATCGAACATCGCAAACTTTTATTCAGCCGATCACTCCAACCCAGTTGATCCAGTCCTTCCCGGTTACGTCTTAGTGACGAACGGAGCGGTCCAGGCAAATTTTATCTCGCTATACGCCATCGTCGGATCTGGTGATCATGCCATATCACTGTCCCACGTACCAATAACTCTATTCTGTCGCTGAGTCCCTGGGAGCTGAAGTGATCTGCGGCGCTCTTCGGATGAAAACAACTGGCAACTAGGCCTCAACGTAATTCGGTCTTGAGTAATCGCACCAGGAATATCAGATCACAAACACCTGCTAAATATTGGCCACAGATTATGATATTCGTAGGAGAGGATGGCGGAATTCGCATCACGGCCTCGAGAACATTCGGGACAACTTTGCGGGCATCAATATGGTCCTTTGAGAGCATTTGGACACGCCATCGGAGGTGAAGCAACGCGACATAAACGAAAGCAAAACATGTATGCGTTAGCTCAGGAGTAAGGCCAACGGTTCTCTTGGACGTAGTGTTCGAATCTTCTTTCCAATGAGTAAATTAGTCTCTGTCTGGAGAGCAGCGGCCTCCCGCACTATCGACTGTAACGGTTCTGTTCCAGTGGCCGCTTTGGTGTCAACCTGAGAGCTTAATCGCAATAATCGCGATAATCGGAACAATATCGGAACTAATTCCAAAGCGTAACCGCAAATATCATCCACATGTTTTGTATTGGTACGTAAAAGCTGGTACAATTGGCCGCTTATAGAGTCGTGGATACAACTTGAACGATGTGCTGACAAGCCCGCCATGTTATCCATGGTTGTAAACCACTTCACCAGACACTGTACATAAGTGTCATCTATGTATGAAGAATAAGTGCCCAGAAATGTATTCAACAGCTGCAATGCCCCAAAACGATGTGATCCCCATGTTTGCGTATTTCCATTACAAACATCATTCGTACAGAGCACCATTGCCGTAGTAATAGTTTCGGGTCTTAGAACATCTTGAGTATTGGAAAGAGCAAATTCAAGCGGGGAAATTTCCTAGTTCATGAACTTCAGACACGCTGTCGAGGGCCCTGGACCGGGTCCCACCGAAGTGACTGTATTGGCTACAGGCTGCGGCTAAAGTGCACGAAAGGTATGAGGGGTATCTAACGCGGCGCTAATCATGCTTCGGAGAAAAGACCCTGGGGCTGCAGGGAAGAACCTGACTCACGGTACTAGAGATGTGCATATAGGATCGGGAGTCTTCTGGATGACAACCATGGCGACAAGTTACCGGATGATGGGTAGGTATGTTCAACCCCACACTGCCTATTTAGACCGATAGATGCGTCCTGAAGATCTACCGCTATCTAATTTTGGCCTACACTGGGTGTTTGGCTGACGACTCGTGGACCATATACACATCCCCGATACCGAGTACAACGAGTTCATACCGGCCTTCTAAGGTCACACTGCGGATTTCTGATCAGTGCCAACATCGAATCATTGGGTCAAAAAAGTTTTAACATTTTTTCGCCAGCATTCCGTACACCCGTCCCACCTCCTTCGCTGATTTCCCGTAATATCACTTGATTGACCCATTATTCTTGAGTCTGCGTGGCCGGGTATAGGGTATAGAGCATGTCTAAAGCTGTATTTATTATTAGCCGCGCTTCTAAATGTTACCCAGGAAGAAGAAAACGGGACACATCCACGATTTTTCTTTTCTTTTCTTTTTTTTTTTTTGCCTGTGGTAAAGAGCCTATTCCCTTCTCGGCGTTCCAAGCGGCCTAGTCAATCAGCTATGGTTCCGCATATGCGTATCAGACGGCAACACTCCTCAATTCTATACGGTATGAATAGTTAAGTTCGGTGCCTCCGTAAAACTTAGAATCTTCGATCCAGAGCTGGAGGAACAAAGCATGTTCAAGCGGGATAAATTACCACTGCTTCATAGCGGACATTGGTCGATCGGAGATCAAATAGAAGTCGAGAACCAAATGCAATTGACCTGCTTTTACTAACGTACCTGGATGCTTCCTTCCGGAGGCGGCATTGTCGCCGTCCCTGATACCGGGGTAGCGGGTTTTCCCGTTCATTGGGTCAATCGTGAGTCCCTCGCCCGTTGACCATGTGGCTACAGCCTCTTCACGATGGAACCGGGCTTGTTTTGAGACACTATCGGTAATGATAGCAATCGCGGGGCTAAGATAGCTACAGTATGGTGCCCCAGTCTTGGTTTTTCAGTCACCATCTAAAATATCCACAATGATCTATGGATCTGCTACAGGCACAGCGTCCACCCGAGATGGTACAGCAGATAACCGAGCAAACATGTGTGATAGAAGAAAAGTGTCATTCCGTTGCTCCACTGGCGGGGAACTGATTCAGCATTTTTGTTAGTTAATTAAGGGGCTGCAGTACGGAGTAGAGTGGCCCAGAATATCTGCACGTCCCCATCCACTGTACCGAGCAGACGGTTATCAACTATGTACTACTGACATACTAGTTATTATAGGGCAAAAGAAAGCAATCCTTTAAGGAGTACATACTCTGTACGGAGTATATATTTTGACTCTTCTCCTTAATTCTACGCTTAAAAACCACTCGGCGGCGCCGAGTCGAGAATCCCACATACAGTGCTGATCCCGAAGTCTAAACGGGTCTCGAAGATGTACTCCGGAGTACTAATCTCAATTCATCTTAGCCTTAAGAGCCGAAACCCGGCCCGTCAATTAAACGCCAGGTTATGCTAATCTCCGTATTCTGCATTTGACTAATGTCCACGATGGACTATCACGACGAGAGCGGAGACTTGTGCCATATTTAGAGCGTTATCTTGGGAGAACTTCGGTCGTCATCTCCGGGGTTATTTTATATTTGCCCAGATCATGATACTTTTGCTTTTTCCTTTTCTTTTTTTTTTCTTGGGGGTTGGGGTACGGAACAAGAATGGGTTCGCCAAGATAGCCTTGGCTGATATCAAGAAGACCATGGGTTCGCGGAGTACAACCAGAAATCTCTTCATGATGAGAGGAGCAGCAGGGCTAATTTAGCCGGTAGCGAAACATCACTAGTGGCGACATTGCTACTCCGTACTGAGTACTACCACTCCGTATGGATAATATTCGCCTTTTCTAGACTTCTTATGGAAAAGCTCGACATAGGATCGGCGTTCAACGATGGGTCGTGAAGAGATTTCAAACGCCAAGTATTACATATATAGCTTAGTTGCCGATTTTCGCATCGCAGAGCCATATCGCAGTGGAGCCTAGATTGGGGATTTAAATGAGTAGTATCCACTGCACGGAAAACCGCCTATAACCACCGCGGAATGGTCATATATTAAAATCGCTGCGCCGGCCTTCAATCGGTGGCCCAGTCCATCACCTACCACTCACCTTTCGCATACAGCACGAAACAGCCCCTTGATCCATCGTGGAAACCATGGCTATAATCGCCGACGATGCGCCAAACCTGGCCGGCAGTGTCATCACGTTGACTATACTTGCCTTTATGACCTACGGAATGCGGATGTATTGTAGAATAAGCAGAAAGTCGTGGGGGGCGGAAGATTGGATCATGACTGTGGCAGTGGTATGCATCATCTGTCAGTGTCTGAGATGGAGTCCAGCTGACAGCTATCACGAAACAGGTGCCGTTCTGTGTGCTCGTGGCGGGCTGCCTTGGAGGCGCGTTTAATGGCATCGGCATTCATAACTGGCGGTTGCAACAGCCTGAGAACGTAAAGTATCAGGCGGGAGGTCAAAAGGTTTCACAACAGCCACTTCGCCAACCAACCTAGCACTAATCAACGCCTAGTTCTTTCTTATTTTCGAAGTTGGTTACTGCGCCGCCATCATTCCGATCAAGCTCAGCATCAGTTGGATGCTGATCCGAGTCGCCGAAGGACGCAAGATGTATATTTACACTCAGTACGCTGTAATCGCCTTGTTCACGACCATGAACATAATTGCGCTTATTTTCATTCTCGTGAACTGTATACCGGTTGAGTATGGCTCTGCAATCGAACAAGCGTCTGTCTCAATACTCATCAGTCTCGCAGGGCCGCCTGGGACACGAGCCTTCTTGAGAAAGGAGGACACTGCCAACCTGCTCACGTTTTGACGGATGTCTACTACGCTACTACTGCTGTAAACATCGTCACGGACTGGCTGACAGCCTTAATGTTCGTACCAAGTCACCAGTAGACGTTCTGAGTAATCGTTGAGACTGACTTCGACTAGGCCGATTCCCTTGCTCTGGCATGTTAAGCTTAACCATGCTGCTAAGGTATCTATTGTCGGTCTGATGAGTCTCGGTATACTGTGCGTAAATGCCATTGATATTGCTACCATGTTTCAGAACTGACATACCAAAACGCATCAGGGCGTCTGTCTCCGCATGTGTCCGACTCAAATACACCGTCAATCTGACCAACCAAACCGATTATCTCTTCGCTGTGGCTAATGTGGTCATCTGGGGGTTTGCGGAGAACGCCGTCGGCATGATTGTCGGCAACATCTCAACGCTACGTCCGCTATTCCGCAGTCTGCTTGACCACACTGTCCGAAAACCCGGGTACGGCAGCCGGTCCCGAGGCGGTCCTTCCAAACTGGCCTCCTCATACGAGTTATCTCAGAACGGAAAGAGCGGTAATAACTTCACAACCACGCTGTCCGAGGTTCGAGACGGCCATGGCACGAGAAGAAACAGCCAGTTAAGCGACGATGACAGCAGGAAATTGATTTTCCAGGGCCATGATAATCGTGACATTCTCGTTAGCCGGCAAATCAACATAGCATACGATTAGCTGTCTCAAAATGCACTCTACCTTTAATTATCAGATGAATGAGGGCCATCTCGTTCTCTCCTCCTTCGCTACAAACCGGATAACTTGAATCTTGATGTCTTTGTAGGAGCCGAGTGTAGCGTCTCTTCTCACTTGAGGTGAAACTAGACGCGCACGTATTATATTAAAGCCAAATGATGTTTTGTTGTACGCTCGATCTCCTGTGCATATCGAGACTGAGCTGATCGTGCGCTGATGGTCTGGATTTGCTCATTTCTATGAATCCACCGCCCCTACACGGGTATGGACCGAGGTAAACATTCCACCCCCACCCGAGTCCACCACTTTATCTATCAACCACCCTCCAGTATCTTTTAAAAAGAAGATTTCAATGAACAATATCGGGAGCTGAAAATGGCATCAAACGATCATCCCGTCATCATTGTCGGCGGCGGACTGGCGGGTCTTGTTGCGGCCTTCGAGCTCTCCAAACGCGACGTCCGGACGGTTATTGTGGACCAAGAGAATGAAGCGAACCTCGGTGGACAAGCTTTTTGGTCCCTTGGGGGTTTGTTTTGTGTAAACTCGGCTGAGCAACGCCGTCTGGGTGTCAAAGATAGTCGCGAACTGGCAATGCAAGACTGGTTGAACACTGCGCGTTTTGACCGTGACTGCGACTTCTGGCCCAAAAAATGGGCTGAGGCATTCGTCGATTTCGCGACCGATCACCTGGAACGCTATGTCAAGTCGCTGGGGCTGGGCTTCGCCAGTGTTGGATGGGCCGAGCGAGGCGATGGCCGCGCGGGAGGACACGGAAACTCCGTGAGAATATATATTGCGACCATTGTTGAACATACATGATGAGCTTACAAAAAGTATAGGTTCCTAGATTTCATCTAGCATGGGGCACAGGTCCAGCAGTTCTGGAGGCATTCGAGAAGCCAGTCCGGGCTGCGGCAGAGGGAGGACTGGTTGAGTTCAAGTTCAGACACCAAGTCGATGGGATCGTTGTCGACGAGAGCACCGGTGCGGCTATTGGTGTCCGAGGTCAAGTGCTCGAGCCGTCTGACACTGCGCGTGGGGTCGCGAGCAATCGGAAGGGTGTTGATGCCTTCGAATTGTACGGCAGCAGTGTCCTTGTCACTAGCGGGGGCATTGGTGCCAACGTTGACCTGGTCAAGAAGAACTGGCCTCTGGATCGGCTTGGCCCGCATCCACCGTCGAGCTTCGTCGTCGGCGTCCCTGCATACGTAGACGGCCGCATGATTGAAATCGCCCAAAAAGCAGGGGCCAGCGTGATCAATAGCGATCGTATGTGGCATTATACCGAAGGATTGAGAAACTGGGACCCCATCTGGCCGGAGCATGGAATCAGGATTATCCCTGGGCCCTCCTCATTGTGGCTCGATGCTACCGGGAAACGCTTACCACCAATGCTTTACCCTGGATGCGATACCCTGGCAACTTTAAAGCATATCTGCGGCACAGGATATGACTATACCTGGTTCATACTCAATAAGAGTATCATCGGCAAAGAGTTTGCACTTTCTGGCTCGGAACAAAATCCAGACGTGACCAACAAGAATCTCCTCATGACACTCCGACGAATCCTCAGCTCATCGCCACCTGGTCCTGTGCAAGCGTTCATGGATGAAGGAGTCGATTTTGTGATCGAACCTACCATTCCCGGACTGGTGGCCGGAATGAACAGGCTCGGCAAAGAGCAGGGCGGACCTGTCCTCGACGTTGAGCAAATTAAACGCGAAATTTATCTCCGGGATATCCAAATCAACAACAAATACACCAAAGATGCCCAGCTGATGCTTATCCGGAATGGACGTAATTATTTGCCGGATCGACTCGGTCGAGTAATGAAACCCCATAAACTTGCAGATCCACGTCATGGTCCCTTAATTGCCGTGCGTCTGAACCTCCTGACACGGAAGACCTTGGGAGGGCTTGAGACGGACCTACATGCAAATGTACTCCGTCCAGATGGATCGCGTTTCCCGAGCTTGTATGCCGCAGGCGAGGTCGCAGGGTTTGGTGGAGGGGGAGTTCATGGGTACAGTGCACTTGAAGGGACCTTTCTAGGGGGGTGCATCTTCTCGGGACGGACAGCAGGTATAAGAATAGCTGAGGTAGCAGGGAGACCACTACGATCATCTTTGTAGCAGCTCTTTAATGTGCGTGACCTCTGACATTACAACTCTTGTCAACTCTATTACCGTTCTCGGTTCTATCATATAGAAAAATAGTACATCACTCTCGAGGAAAGCAAAGGGGCTATAGAGACCAACTTAATGATTATGTCACTGATCTCCTATCGTCATGCGCCAAGGTATACTCGGTTGTGACCACAATACCCGCATGATCTCTGGGTGGGCTATTGGCATCTCCTCCTGACTCAATAATTCGCTCCTGACTCTCGTTCGATGAGTCGTCATGCTTGTCCTTATTCCTATTTATTATATCGAGCTCATATGGATGCTTGCCCTCATCCTTGGTACTGTTAATAGCTGTGAAATGTCCAGACTTGGAATGAAACATGCCACTGCGCCCAGTGCGCTGGTTACTGCTATAACCATTGGACGAGGATTTGAATGACTGGAACCACTTGAATCTTGCAAAGAGCGGCTTTATACCCGGAGCGCAGACAACGAAGACGGAGACCAGGGCTTCACGGGATGCCCAGCCCAGAGCAACGGAGAGCTTGTTGATGTTCGAAATCGAGTAGTACGTACGAAGAACAGCGGCGATCATGACGAAGATTCCGGACGAGAATAAGAGAGCCAAGACAAATTTCTGGAACGGTGGGATTTTGGCCGCAATGATGAGTGGTAATGGGACACACATGACGCCCAAGTCAGTTCTGTTCGTCTGTCAGATACATGTCTTCATTTTCGAATCAAGTCAAAGCTCACACAATGTTCAAGACCTCAATCACGAGATAGTTCAGTGGCCTGACTGTACAGTTTTCTGTGCATTGTCAGCTGGGTGTATGGAAATCCGACGACACTGACTAGATGCTTACCCCCTGCATACGGTTTGACTTGCCAATTCTTTTGGATTGGATAACATACAGCAAGATCGAAAACTAGAGAAGCCAAGAATGTACACACGCAAAAGCCACCCATAATCATGGTCATGCGATGCTGCCATAAACCAGTTCTGTCATCCCGTCAGTAAAGCGCAGGTTTTGACTCGCACGGGTACTGACGTGATTCGGTTATAAAGAAACATAAGGACGCCCTTGAATGACCACACCAGACAGATGTACGAAATCCAAGCGACGAAGGCATATATACCGCCTTGTTGAAGTTTGTGTACCTCGCTATCTGGGACTTCCATCGCCGACTTCTCATTGAGACCAATGTTGGAGCCGGTGTCATCTTCGTCAATTATTAGCGCTCCCTGAGTTCGTTTCGGGGGATCGAAAATTCTGCCTATCGTACCTAAAAGGTAGAGGAAAACCGTGTGCATTGTCCACCAAATCTACAAGTGAAAAGGTGTTAATTAGCTATGCGGTATAGGCCGGGCACAGATCATGCTTTACTCACCACAACGGACCCCAGACAGAGGTCGTCCCAGTAGAAACTCTGAGATCCTGACGACCAACGCACGAAGAGTCGCAAAGCAATTACCATGAGGCCAACAGCGTACGAGCCGAAAAGTTCGGCATGTAAGCTGTACCCCATTCTGGTGCTGTGAAGAGTCGGCCGGACGAGGTGCAAGAACGGAGAAAGTGAATGGCATGTAAAGACAGGTAATCCGGGTAGAGATTAATAGGGGACCCTTGCAGTTTAAAAGTACGCAGAGCGAGCAATGAGTGCAAAGCTTGTACGCTGTGAGATAATCTTCATTGCTTCCCCTGGCTGAGGCTAGACGGAGAGCACGGAGTATGGTTCCAAATTAACTTAACTCTACATTCATAGTCTCCCATATCCATGGATCAAACGCCCTGTACATCTTCCAGTTGTGGGGACCCAAGAAAGGCTGAGGCCAAGAGGATTAGGTGTTCCGACATTCTGGCATCCTCATGTGTGGCACATAGCTTAGCAATTCATGTCCTAGTTTCGTCCAACACCGATCCATGATGGAGAAAGATGGATCATCCAGATCACATGCATCACCGGTATGGACAATAGCATCCTTTCAGTGCGCGAGAAAAAGATCGATTGGCCCGCTACAGATGGGTATAGAGAGTGGATCCTCGCACTCGGCAACTCAGCAATAGCTGGCAATATGACAGGAAATGGCTCAGTCCTTGGCAAACTCTATTGTGACAGTCGTCAGTTCATCTTTTAAGCTTCATTCATTGTTTCAACGCCGCTGTCTCCACGGAACGGGGAAAGCCGTCCGCGTAATTGGTTTCGAATCTTTGGGGCAAACCATTGAGCCAAGAGCGTTGTTCTTGAAATACTTCTCTCGTTTCTCTCCCTCATGCTAATCAGTGCAGCCTTCTACGAGAGGACAAACTCCCGTCCTTTCACCCATCCCGCACTGCTGCATTCATGTTACAGCGTCAGCCATATCCTGTACGTAGCAGGCATTTCCAATGATGGCCTATGTAGCCTCCTGGTATCGTCTTTATGCACTGATCGCAGTCTCTATTAATACGGGCGTTCAGTTACTCTCTACCGATTAGTGCAAAGTCTATATACAGACTAAGTGTACATCGCACGATAGTTCTTCGGGGACCATTTTTAGCCAAAGGTTGACAGAAATGACGGATCACCAGTCCCCCGGACACCCATGCTCCTCGAAACCGGTTTGGCGTCGAGACCCCATGATGGGTCTTTCGATGATTTGCATCTTCACCTGCGTAATAACCACTCAACAGATTACCGATCGAGTTGGGAATTCTTTGATTGGCGCGAAAATCTCTCCCGCAACGGAATATATTACGATGAGCAGCTAAGACAGATCTCCTGGCAGGACCCCGAAGGCAGTCCCCGACGTTTCTCCAGTCGGGTGGTGGAACGATCTCTTCGGAGGACTTACTCTTCAAGGCGCCCGGGGCCTAGTACATGGGTTCGTCTGTATCTGGTCTGTCGTCCAATGTAAAAGCAGACCCATCGAGTGTGTACCAATCACTACAAGTCCAAAGTATATCGGGAATACTCCACTCCGGAAAGGTGACATATACCAAGTGGGTTTTAGAGTTGCTCGTCAAGGGTTTTGCATATTACATCCCTCACCGTGTACTTATGGTGCCTCAAAGCATTGCCGTGCGCTTTGCCAATGCAAAATGCACTATTTAGAGGATGGTCACTATTGCTTCAGGAGTCGCTCCCAAGTAAATGAGTCCGAGCTCCCCTGAGATAAACTATGGGTCTTTGTGTGGAGGGTGCCGAAATCTCGTTGCCAGTCGACAGTCAAAGTTTATTTCCGCGGGTGAATGGGATTGACATTAAGTTTCCCTATTATGTTTCACGGAATGCTCTTTACTCTGTATGAACCACAGGCCACCTCTTTGTACCAAATGCTAAGTCTACGAAGCTGGTCACAGTGACTAGAATGTGAAGGTCGAGGCTCAGGGAACCAGTAATCCATTCTGACTTCTAGAGCGGTTGCAATATTGCTAATATAGCCACCCCTAGCTATCAGGGATACGAATAGCCGCAAATTGTCGCTGTACAATCATTGTCCAATGAGGTTCACTACATTTGTGGCCAGTCATCCAACACAGCTTCGACCCCATGTAGCTCCAGAATCGCCGTGCTCTGCGTAGGCACGTCAATAAGGATCTCATAGCGGCCCGGAGAAAGCACACGCGCCAGGTTCCCTAAAGTGAGCGACAAAGTAGTAGACCGCGTTCTTTGGGGTACTATGTTCTTCGCCCGCATATACGCAGCCAATTGTCTAATAGGATACGGTGGGGGGGTCTCCATTCTTGCTGGCCACAAAGCCAAGAGCGACGAAATCCGACGTCCTCCAGTTTGTGTTCGTCACCTCCACCGCGATCGGCGGCAATAGGTACAGATCGAGATAAGAGGTGTTGCAGTCGACTAGCAGGTCCGTGATCCAGTACGTACCGAGAGTTGGCAAGTGTGAGAGCGAGGTATTGTGCGGTGCTTCTCACGAAAATACCGTTGAGAAGTTGCTGTAGTGCAAGCTATATCTGAAGGGCAACACTGCATCCTGGTAGAACGAGTATGTTCTCTCTGGTTGGTTCCCGCGAGGCCGCAAAGTCATATCGGCCATAGGAATTTGGTCCACATAATGGGCAGGATAAGGATTGTCAATACATCAAAGATCGCGGGTCCACCTTCCTGGTCAGGGTATGCGGCCCAGAGGATTGCAGAAACATTTGGGTTTTGGAGAGGGGTGTCGTCAAGCAGGTTGCCCACTTCAATCACCATACAGGGTTCCTCTAGAGCTTAGAGCCGTTCGGTCAACGCCCATTGTGCAGCAGGCCAGGCGATCGATGCGCGGCCGTTCAGCTCGCTTGAGGTCGATACATCGCTGCCACCGAAAAACAACACCACATCAGCTTGTCTGGCTGCTTCATTTTGCGTGGTCCAATTTCCCGTGGTGGCGCTCGATGTCGATGGACCCAATGCGTAAAAGATTTTCAGTCCAAGCTGACTAGCTGCATGAAGTAGTGGACTGTGGTAGTATGGGGGCATACCGAAGTAACTGCCAAGAGTTGCCAAGTAGCGTTGGCATAGGGGCTTTCTCAAATTAGAGTGACATGGTGTTAGTTCCGATTGAGCATGAATCGAAAAATATGTGGACTATAAGAGGACGGTAACCTTTCGCCTGCTGTAAAGGCTGCTTTGACCCTCTTATAGACGTCAAGATCGAATGTAATACTTCAGTACATGCCAACAATGTTGCTTCATCTTCGCTTTGTGATATTCCTGGCGTTTTTTCCCGTAATTGCCGCTATCAGAAGCGACGATGGAACATTCCTCAGTCCTTCGCTAGGGTTCGTCCCCGTTTTCGAGATTGGCTCGCTAATTCAAGTGTCGACATCACCACCTTCCAAGACAACATTAGATTTGCAGGTTCTATCGGTGCCGGCGGAATCGAGCTGATGCCATTCTACAACTATGGTGCTCAGGTGGATGAGATTCCTCCAGGTGCAAACTGGTCGACCTATCACTGGCTAATGGCTCCGTTGCATCATGCAGTTCTCGCATCTGATTGAAGACTTTCCAAATGGATCATTTCCCGGGCGAATTCCTAGTTGGAAGACTGGGGATCTTGTGGCGTTAGTCTTGGCAGAGGTTATCTCAACAGCGAGCAAGAACTGGTCCAGTACATCTACCATGGGTTCGACCTTCACGACATACCAGCAGCTGATACTCAATCATATAACACTGGAGGACGAGACACAAGGGCATCGCTTCATCTGGCCTCTTCAAGCCACATTTATCGAATATTCGCCTTCCACTAGGTCCAGACTCACGCCAAAAACCTCGAGTATGTAAGTAGCACGTCGACCAATATCTTCGATAATGGCTCCTATAGTATCGATCACTTCAGTTCATAGGGTACAGAGACGATCATCAACTTCTAGGAAGTGCATATGTTGACTGACGAAGTTGTCAATATGTCAAGGGGTCGGAAGTTGTAGTGCGCTCCCACGATCTTGTGGATGTTCGAAATTCCAATAGCGATTTATTCAGTCCGGAAGGATAGTGTAGAGATCCAATCCAATATATCATGGACACTCTACCACGCAGATTCTTCCAGAGGCATGACTATCCTCTCCGACCACAGTTGCCATTGCTACTCTTCCGGAACAACAATATCGGGCTGCAAAGTCCTGCTGACAGTGCCCTGAACTGTACTCTCGACACATCCGATCAGGTTCAAGCCTACATGAATAACTATCACAGTTCCCTTTTCGATGGTTATCGCGAGTATCTGCAGACCCTGGCAGAGTGGGCGCACTCATGTCTCAATCTGCAGCTGCCAGCCCAAGTCTCGTATAACCTTCCCATGGACATGGCAGCAAATATCCCATTCGTCGGCACCCCTGAATGCAGAAGTCTGACAATGGTTTTATTGGAAGTGTGGAACTTGTTCCGTACGCAGAGGTCAAGGTTAAGGGGTGGTTGTGTGTGATTGCTCCAGAGTGCTGTGTCTCCGATTTATATATATAACCGGGCCCTATGTTACGCACTCAAGCCACTCGAGATGCCACTCAGGATCTCACTCTTTGGAATGGCATCCTCAGGTTAACGCGAGGATTATAGAAACATCAATGCGAAATACCTCACACCCGACAGCTATGTAAAAACATCGTACTTTACTCCGTACTGCATAATCGGGTCCGAATCCGCAAAGCTGTCGGCTCCACTTTCGGCCTGCTCGTCCCGCGCAAGTTCCTCCGGTGCAACGAGAGCTCCGGGATAGCTGTAGGGAAGATTCTTGGTGAAGCACTCCGAGGTGTTGCTGAAGAATGAGGTGTCAGCACCAGGGCATGGATGACATGGTCTCTTGCCACTGTTCTGGAGACAATTCCAGCTCCAAGACTACCCGGAGAGTATGACGTAACTACTATCAACAACCTGTGTCTGCATTTTGTTTCTTTCTTTATCTTTTCTCAATGGCATGAAGTAATGCAGATTGAGGGTAGCAACGATCGAAGGAGGAGCAACCGGTCATTGGCAGCCAGATCCCGCTCTCACTGGCCCAAAGCAAAAGGAAAAAGACAGGTTGTAGCCGTCGTTACATCATAGCGATGTATTGCGGACCATCCAGCGACAATATGAATTCGCTTGTTGAGCCATAGCTTACTTATGCTCCCTCTCTTCTCTCTGTCCTCCCCCATCCCTCCTACATTTTCTCAATTTCCTGCGATATACCGTACCCATCCTACCCACCACTCCCCGAAAGCAAGTATCACCACCAAAATGTCTTCCCTCCGCGCCAACTTCCCCGAACAAGTCGACTCCGGTGGCCCCCCGATTGCCAGCCGGGGCCGCCGTGAGTCCTACGCGCGGACTGATGAGAGCGTCACCTTTGAGTATCCCGATGAGAGCCAGATGCCTCACTCGCCCACCATCGAGGGCATGCGCTATAAGCGCACCCTGACCGAGTTCTCGCTCGAGAAGAAGGTGACGATTGTCACGGGCGGTGCTCGTGGTCTAGGTCTCGTCATGTCACAGGCCATCCTCACCTCCGGCGCGGATTTGGCCATTGTCGACCTGAACAGTATGTCTCGGGGTTTATCTGGTATTCATTCCTGTCGTGCAAATGCTAACCCAATTCTCCTATAGAGGACGAAGCCGAATACCAGGCCAACAACTTGGTCAGACAATTCAAGGAGGAGAACCCCACTTTGGAGCTGTATGTTTTCCTTGGCGGTTCTTGTATTATGCGGCAAGAAAGCTCAGTGCTAACTTTGAGAGAAGACCACCCAAGATTACTGCCCACTATGCCGACGTCTCCAGTCCCGACTCGGTCAACAAGGCCCTGGAAGAAATCATCGCCCAGCACGGCCGCATTGACAACCTCGTCACCTCCGCCGGTTTCACCGAGAACTTCGATGCCATTCACTACCCCCATGAGCGGATGCAGAAGTGCTGGGCTGTCAACGTCGACGGCTCATACCTCTTTGCCACTGGCGTTGCCCGTCATCTGATCGAGCGCAAGGCCCCCGGCAGCATTGTCATGATTGGCAGCATGTCCGGTGCTGTGGTCAACGTCCCGCAGCCCCAGGCCCCCTACAACGCCGCGAAGGCTGCCGTCCGCCATCTTGCCTCGTCTTTTGCTGTGGAGTGGGCGCCATATGACATCCGTGTCAACTGTATCAGTCCCGGTTACATGATGACCGCTTTGTAAGTGTCAATTGCCTGAACGCGTTGGTTTCCAATTGCTGACTTGTGCTTCAGAACACGCAAGATTCTCGATGAGAACCCTGAACTGGAGGAGAAGTGGACCTCGCTCATCCCCGCCGGCAAGATGGGTGCCCCCGAAGACCTCATGGGTCCCGTCACCTTCTTGCTCAGTGACGCTGCCAAGTATGTTACCGGCGCCGACCTGAGAGTCGACGGTGGTTACACTTTGACTTAATTCTCTGTACTTTCGTCGTCATGGGTTGTATTAATTAGCTTTGTTTACGATGTTCTACGGTCTGTGTTTATTTTGGTTGGGTTCATGAAAACAGTTATGATATAGAAGACGTACCAGGTGTACGAATAGATAGGCGACAGCCGGGTTTCTGTCGTGTTTGTCAGTACATAAATGATACCGCTACAAGATTGCAATAGTCTGTCAAGTGACGTAGCATGTCAGATTTTCTACATCGGGCAGCGTATCCATGGAACCTCTTGCGGGAACACTCTTCGCGTCATGGACCATACTCGGGGAGATATTGTGACGTTTTAGTGCGGTGAAAAGTTGTCCACAGTGAGTATAGTGTCTTCTACCATGATAATCTAGCTTCAAGCTGCCGTATCTGGGTTAGAATTTGTTCTTGTTTACTCAGGCTCAATACCGTACCACCGGACTCCAAGTGACCGTCAATCCGACCTGACAGCCGGCAATGGTCAGTGCGCACATGTCACATATTTCTAGGAAGGTGGGTGAACGAGCTTAGTGCTGTGGTGTTATCCAATTGTGTTCGAGGTTTATCGTGGTTCCTAGAGACGATCTGCGTCTAGCAGCTTGGATCTCACAGATAGAACATGGTGCGGAGTACATTCACCATGTTTATACATTCTGCCAACAGGCCATGGACGTGAGTGAAGCGCGACTGCGCACGTCGTCCCTCCGGTGACTATGAAAGACTTGAGATCCCTCCAACTACAGCGTCAAGCGATTGAGGGCATCATCGATGCAGCAACTCAACCACCGGCGCCATATGAAACAACATCCTAACCCGATTTATAGCTGTTGACGACTCATTGGTTAGTCCCGGACAGGCATGCGTAATCACCGCTGTGCTGCCCCTCGCTTTACCGCCATGTTCAGGACTGATAGTATTCGCACTTTCTTTCTCGGTGTAATGTCGGCAGTCGAGCGTATTGCATTTGAACTGCTATCCAGCTTTCCAGCTCGGCTGGTTTATTCCACTGTTATGAGACGAAAGAAAGCCATCTTCGCTTCTCCATGGAGTCCGGCGTCTCATCAACCCGAGGAGAAGACAAATCCTGATAGAGAGATCCAGACACCAGACACGCTAGCCAACACCGGCCTAGCGCTATTCCCCTGCTGAATTCTGATGCCTGATTGGTGGATTGTTTTTTGATTGGCCAATTGGCGACGTGGCTCCGAGGGCTCTGCTATAGGGCTTGCCGGTCATGTTATTCTGTACCCCCTTATACCAGAGTGTACATGGCCAACTTGTAGGGCATTCTATAGGAATATATCGTGATGAAGCACTTAAACATTCGAGGTGCTGTCGTGGTCTTAAACAGCATCTTACTCTAATCCGGATGTTCCGCAGCACAGCCACCGTGGAGGCACCAAGCTTTAGGATGGAGCATCGGCCATCGTCTCAAGTGGATCGCGTCCTACGCAAAGCATGACAAGTCTTTTTTCTCATTTCGGCCTTCATATGGCTCGGTGTTATGCCATACTATCAAAATCGCTCGCCAATGACCAGGCAATTTCGCTTCTTCTCATTTCCGGTGTCTTTCTTTCCGGTCCTCGAAGCCGGATCCGGTATAGCGGCCAGTGTCCGTTGTAACGAGATGAATCAAGCTAGTACTAATGCCCGGAGGTCGTGGAAAAGACTATTGCTTTAGACTAATAATATGCCATGGTCTCAATCATGTTCTGAGGCTAGCCATGGGAGAAATTGGTTGCCTCGCGATGCCATTCGCCGGGTGTTCGGCGCCCCCTGATGTGCCGGCAGCCTTATCTACTTTCATTCCCCGTCGTGTTCGCCGTTGTATTTCTTCCTAAGCTAAGCCTTTGTCCGCTGTCATGCTAAGAACACGCCAAGGTTGGCCTTGCTCGAGGGCTCTACTGTTTCTCCTGCTGCTGTTGTCGCTGTGTGTACCAGACGTGCGGGCGATTGATCTCAACATTGATGATGAGCGTGAGTGTTCCGTGTTGTCGTTGCAGATCTTGGGGGTGAGATCTTCGTTCCGCCATGCTAATGCTTGGTCTTTTGTCGTTCAGAATCGATCAAAGATGCGGCCAGCACGGCTGCATATGGGATGATGACCCATTATCATGGCAACGAAACGGGGCAGATTCCTGGAAAGCTACCCGACACATGGTGGGAAGGAGGTGCCATGTTCATGACCCTGATTCAGTACTGGTACTTCACCGGCGATACCACCTACAATGACGAAGTGTCTGTCGGTATGCAATGGCAGTCTGGCGACGGCGATTACATGCCAACCAACTGGAGTACATATCTGGTAGGTGGCCGAACAGCACTATCAGCATCAATCCTGGTCTAATAAGTCCCAGGGAAACGACGATCAAGTATTCTGGGGTCTGGCCGCCATGACCGCCGCCGAATTGCAGTATCCTGAAGTCGACGATGGTTATTCCTGGTTGTCCCTAGCGCAGGGCGTCTTCAACACCCAGGTTGACCGGTGGGACAGCAGTACCTGCGATGGAGGATTGCGTTGGCAGATCTACGCCTACGAAGCCGGCTACGACATGAAGAATACCATCTCCAATGGAGGATTGTTTCAGCTGTCCGCCCGTCTCGCGCGCTATACAAACAACGACACCTACGCCGACTGGGCCGAAAAGATCTTTGACTGGGCTGCCTCGACCCCGCTGATAAACAATAGCACCTGGAATGTGGCCGACTCGACCAACATCGAAGACGATTGTACTTCTCAAGGAAATAACCAATGGTCATACAACTACGGTACAATACTAAGCGGTGCAGCGTACATGTACGCCTATGTATGTCACCCCGTTCAGTTGCTTCACCCGTGCCAGAAAACTGACTATCCAGACCAACGGCACTGCCAAAACCAAATGGCAGAACGCGGTTAACGGCCTCGTCAATGTCACCTTGGACACCTTTTTCCCTGCGAAATATGACTATGTCATGTCAGAAATCTGTGAGCCCAACGAAGTCTGCAACAACAACGAAATTCTCTTCAAAGGTCTCACGTCCGCCTGGCTCGCCTTCGCCTCTGTCCTCGTCCCGTCAACGTCGTCGCAAATCCTCCCCAAGCTCCAAAGCTCTGCCGAAGCCGCCGCCGAAGCTTGCACGGGAAACAGCAACAACACCTGCGGAGTCCGGTGGTATACCAGGACATGGGACGGATGGAGCGGCCTTGAGGAGCAGATGAGCGCGCTGAGCGTGTTCTCGTCGAACCTCATCACCACCAAAGATTCAACCCCGGTCACCTCGACCACCGGCGGCAATAGCACCAGCAACCCGGCCAGTGGCACAAATGATAAGAACGCGCAGGGTCAAACATCGCCGGCCGTAACGACCGGCGACCGCGCAGGTGCAGGCGTTCTGACAGCTGTGTTCGCGTTGGGATGGCTCGGCATGATGATATGGCTAGTAATATGAGTTTTCCATTTGCTTCATTTTTTTTTTTTTTTTTCTCAGCGTTCTTGCATTGTTTTCTTTATATCTGTACATAGTAGATCTTCAACGCTATAGAGCCGTTCGTGATCGTGGCCGACGATCAGAATGATTTGCCCGAGTGAAAAAAACGCTCATCTCCCGGTGGTCGATGCTCTGCCCGAGATTGGGATCACCGCCGTTTTTGAAGTGCCTTGACACTCGTAGGATGGTTTATATCTAACACACTTGGTACATCTGGCGTGGGAGTGTGTTGATATTGCTTCACCACCGGATGTCTGTACTAGGCATGGTAATATAAGATCCCGAGAATAGTCATCGTTGGTATAGCTTGACTGCATCAAACCAACCTATGGAATTCAACATACTCCCCCAGAAGCGTATGTGTTGGCTAGTGGATTCGCGCCCTCGTGGACCACTCGGATACATCAATGGCCCCGATATGCGAGTATTCAGGGGCGTACAGGTGTATGCGACCGTCAAGCCAGGCTCATAAACCCAGCATTCGTTCGAATCGTATTCTTCCAGCGTTTCCTACGCACATTTTCACAACGAAATTGATCTCCCTGACTGCTCTGTTGACAGAATGGGCGATGCCAGTTTCTATCTAACAGCAGCAAATGCATGCGGTCCTGATAACTGGGGCTGAAAGTCGAAATGCAATTGGAGCAATACCTCTATTGAAGGTTTGGAATACTCTCACCGAGCTATAGTATGTATATTTTTGCTTGTTAAGATCCCAAGATGTTCTGGAGTATGTACAAGCGCACATAAATATACAGAATGAACTCCCCGATTCCCCCAACAGCAACTTCTTCCTTCACGGTCTATCCTGACCTCGAATCTACGTTTAATACTGTACCACTCAGACTCACCGGTACTTGAATCGCCCAGCCAAAAAAGATGCAAACGACTGATGCGAGTCGTCGATGTTCAGCGAGAAAGGCTTTACGCCCAAGCTCCGACCAAACTCATGCAGAATGCACCCAGAAAGACCAGAATGCATGCAATCACCCTCTTCTTTCCCCGGAGCACTTTCCAGCTCTCATCACTAAGAAAATCCTCCGACATCAATTCGACCAGCGATGCAAAGATCAGCAAGCCAGCCGAGATGGCGTTCATAGTGCCCACCAGGAGCAATCCGACTTCCGAGTTGGGGCTGTACAGAGTGTGCGTGGCGAGGCCGATCGCTTGTCCAAGAGGCGTTCTGTACACATTAGCATGCGTCAATTGCAAAGATACCGATAAACATACGTGCATCCATATGCGAGAGACATAACCCATGGCTGGTAAGCCTTTCGTGGCCAGTTCAGCGACGCAATCCGGGCGCCCAACGCCAGTCCTTCGAAGCTCTCTGCGCGAATTAGCAAGCCAGCTCTCTCATACAAAAAAGAAATGGACATACGGTGAAATACAATGGCAATGAGCAGGATGACAAACGAGTTGCCAACAGACACGCTGAGGGACATGCCGATAAACACACTGTGAAAGAGGATTCCCATCTCGAGCAAAAAGACCTGCATCACTGATTTCTTGTCTTGCAATTCTGGCGACAGATTCAAGGTATCATCGTCGCTGCGCTCGGCATCCTGTTCGACAGCTTCTGTCTTTCGTTCCTCCCAGCCCTGTGGAGACTGCTCGGGGGCTGATGGAACCCGGGTGATGCCTTCATGATCCTCCCCCATCCCCTTGATCGATCGGCTCATGCTGGAAGAGCGTCCGACGAGCGGTCCCAAGTCGCTCAGGTGTCTGCCATCCAGCATCGCTGCCGGAGCCCGTGGATTGGCGGCTGAATTAGGCGGCTCCGTGACGTCGATCCGAGGCACCTGAGGGCTACTTCGGCGAACCGGCTCGGTTGGTGGTCGACAGCAATGGCGCGCGGGGCTAAACACCATTTCAATCACTGTGACGAGAAAGATGCCACCCAACGCAATGGCCCCGGGCATCGCGGGGTAGTCCGTGGTCCAGAACTTCGACAGGCATTGGTCCCCCAGCGAGGTAAATGCGGTCGGAAGCAAGTGGACAAACGCCGTCGCAATCAACACTCCGGTTCCGAAATGGGTGACGAAGAAGAGAAACGAAGGCGGAATGCGCAGACGGGGAAACCAGACGGCAAGAATGGGAAAGGCGCAGGCCAACGTCGACACGGACAAGATGATGAACAGACCCGCGACGTGCAGCGGAAGATTGTACTCGTCGCCATCGACGCCGCCTTCCTCGCAGGTCGACCGTTCGGGGAGACGTCGTGGAGGTGGCTCCAAGTTGACGATTCCGGCACCGTTTGTTGGGTATCGGATATGGGAAATTACAGTCGATGCGACCGCAACAGACAGCAGCCACAATGCCCATTCTTTGGCCGTCTGCCATGTTCGATTGGTACTATTTGATAGTCTGTTCCCTGGTGTAGCAGCATAGCTGCTGATCGGGGAAATGGAGCGTCCTGTGGCCGTTAGCATTGTCGTCGCATTCCGCGGCAACGATGACTTTTACCTGACAAAGTCAGAGACGCTCCCTGAGGATCAGGTCTTTTCTTCTCTCGTCCTGAATCTCTAGCAGCCGTTATTCCTCCTTCATCCCAACCTGCAAAGGTCACTCCGACCAGCCCCGCGCGGTCCTGCAACTCCCGAGCGTTGGAGATGCCGTTCAGGTCTTGGCGGGTGGTGAGATCGAAGGCAAGATAGGGCGGGTTCTGGTTCCAACCGGGATGGACAAGGTCATCGTCGGTGCGCGAGGGACAGTTCATTGTGTATAGATTTGTCTGAAATGTCGTTGTGCTGTCGATGTCGATGTTGACATTGGAGCAACGCTTCAAAGGACCGTGGTGATTAAATCCAGAATGACTAATTCTTGGCACGACAATCTTTAATTTATACAGGAGAAGGCAGAAGCCTTTTTGATTCTTCTATTCTTTGGTGTCCCGGGTTCGCCCGGGGTCTGGCATAGAATGCTGCAGAGTGCACATTTTGCTGTTGTATGGCCGGCCATGCGTGCCATACTCGGTCATCGTGATCTATACAGCTGAACTCACGCTTGAAGAAGCATGACCTCACAAACAGTCAAGCCATGTCGGCATCATTTCTCGCACAGATTGACGCGATGTGGTGTGTATATAGTACGCAGTATGCTACTATGCGGGTACTTTCCTTGCAGGCTGTCGCACGCCTAAACGAGCAATTGCAGCATGAAATTGCCCATCATCCTGGCGACTCTGGCCACCTGCATGGCCAGAGATATCCCCTCCAACTTGCAGCGATTCTACGATTCGGTCAAGATTGCGGGACCATGCACCGGCGACGATCTTTTGCAGGGCGGCTTCTTCGACCAGGACGATAGCACCGACGAATGGAGTTACTGTGACAGGAACTTCACCGGGCGTGGACTCTACATCAAAGGCCCAGGCACGGATCTAGCTAACATGGACATCGACTGCGACGGGGACCAGCAAAATGCTGATCCGCGCTGCCTGGGATCGAGCGACACCCAGCCCGCGACGGCCTTCAAGCGCCAGGTTCAGCGGCTCTCCAACATCACCGATCTGAACGCTTCGATCCACCCTTATGTTGTGTTGGGAAACGTTGGGGACATGACTTTCGATCCTCGCGATCACGGCATCGAGCCGCTTAGCGTGGTGGCCGTCGTCTGCGGAGGCCAGCTGGTCTACGGCATCTGGGGCGACATCAACGGAAACGACGGCATGCCTCTGGTGGGCGAAGGGAGTCTGGCGCTAGCGACGGCGTGCTTCGGAGAGGGCATGGACGGCGACAATGGGCACGACGAGGCCGATGTGCTGTATCTTGCATTTTCAGGGCGCAATGCTGTGCCGCGAAACGCTAATTGGGCTGCGAGGAATTATGAAGAATTCGAAGCGAGTATCGCGGCCCTCGGTGATGCATTGGTGGCCCGAGTGTAATTGACTTTTACTTTTTTCTCCTGTTCAGCTGGTTCTGGTTGGGGGTGAAGTCATGCTCACTTCCTCGGTCATTATTTGTAATTCAGCTAACCGGTTGCAATGATATCATTTGCTGCTTTCGGAAGGACAGTAGAGTAGGAATGTGCATTATTTTCGGGGGGTTCTCGTCGCTCTATAAATACCTTGTTCCCCATCCTCAAGGTCCTTAGATCTCTGGATCAATAACAATTGATATTCTATTATTCCCGAAATCCACCATGGGCTACGATTTTACCGTCTTCAAGGGATCCCCCGATGGATCCATCCGCGAAACCACCGCCCACCGCGATGACCTCACCGGGGACCAAGTTCTCGTCAAAATCAGTCATTCCGGCGTCTGCTTCACCGATGTCCACTACCGCAAGGCCGACATGGCTCTAGGCCATGAAGGAGCCGGGTCTGTCGCTGCCGTCGGCCCCAACGTCAAACACCTCAAAAAGGGAGACCGTGTCGGCTGGGGCTACGAACACGACAGCTGCGAACAATGCCGTCAATGCTTGACCGGCTGGGAAACCTTGTGTTCCGAACGCCAGATGTACGCCAGCGCCAATTTGGACCAGGGTTCGTTCGGCACCCACGCCATCTGGCGCGAGGCCTTCCTCTTCCGTGTTCCGGACGGTATCAGCAACGAGGACTCGGGCCCCTTGATGTGTGGTGGATCGACAGTGTTCAATGCCCTTCATGTGGCAGAAGTCAAATCCACCGCACGCGTGGGAATTGTCGGCGTTGGAGGCCTTGGCCATCTGGCCATCCAGTTCGCGGCCAAGATGGGCTGCCAGGTCGTCGTCTTCTCCGGCACGGACAACAAGCGTGAAGAAGCGAAGAAGCTGGGCGCTGCTGAATTCTATCCCACCAAGGGCGCCAAGGAATTGAAGATTGAAAAGCCCGTCGACCACCTGATCGTGACGACGAGCAGCCAGCCCGACTGGAACCTTTATATTCCCGTCTTGGCTCCCGGGGCGAGCATCTCGCCGCTGTCGGTCGCTATGGAGGATTTCAAGTTCCCCTACATGGGCCTTTTGTCCAATGGTTTGCGGGTGTTGGGCTCCATCGTCGCCGCACGAAAGGTGCACATGGATATGCTTGAGTTCGCGGCCTTCCACGGCATCAAGCCAATCAGTGTTCGATACCCGATGACGGCTGAAGGGATTCAGGACTGTCTAGATACCTTGGAAGCAGGCAAGATGCGCTACCGGGGTGTTCTCGTTGTTTAATCTATATCTAAATACCATGGGCAGTATATATCACGACAATGTACCTAATGAATGAAGCGTAACTCATGATCATAAATGCTATATACCTAATACAACTGATATGTTCTATGGCTTTGGGATTAGTGATTTTACAACGGCCAGTTCCGACTAGAAACAGGCTCTGCATTGCCAATATCAGACTTGTCCTCAACCTCTTGGTCTAACCCCGTCGTTACTGCAATCCCTTGCAGCTCGATATCGGAGAGCTGGTGGCCTTCCAGATCTCTTTCATAATTGCAGAACTGAGTAGGTGGCATTGTCGTCTCTCTTGCGGATGATTTCACCGTGGTGGTATGGTCCAGTGGTCGGGGATCAAAGTATTTGTGCAGGTCAGCTGGCGGCGTCGGCATGGACGGTCGGCAATATCTGCCGCTGGAAGGATGTGAACGTTTGCTATTACTGGCGGAGCGCATACGGCCTAAAATGCCCTGGAGCAATGGTCTCAACAGCGGCAACGAACCGGTGATGATGGCGACGTTGATCTCGAGCACGGTCCAGATGGATTCGAGGGCACTGGACGAGGCCAGGTCGGTGACGACGAACCTGCGGAACTCAATGAGGCGAAGCAGACTGAAGATGCAGACCAGTCCGCCCAAGGAAAAGACGAAGGTTACGGCAAACTTTTGTCTCATGGTGATTCTCAACCGCCAAACCACCGGAATGGGCAGGCACAGGATAAACACATCCTCGGCCAATGCCAACGATCCCATGCACTGGAAGAATTCCCGTTGATGTCTCATACAGTTTCCATTCAAATCCTTGTCGTAATAATACTGGACCGGCCAGCATTGAAAGATATTAACCAGCAAAGCCGCTACTGCCCAGCAGGTGACGAATGCAATCAGGCCCATTGTAAACGCGCGATAGAAGGTCAAGGTTCCGAGCAGACGGCGGAGAAAGACGATGATCGAGATCTTGATAAACGCCATTGATGGCGCCCAGAACTTCTGGATCATCCAAGAACCGAATTGAACGCGACGACGTTCATCGGGGGGCAGGGTGCGAGTCGGCAAGCCGACGCCATTAAAAGCGGCTGTTTCCGTCAGTCGGTTGCGATCAATATAGTAGGGTTGTCCAGAGAATTAAACTGACTATAAACGACAAAGACAGTAGCGCCATAAGAAATCAGCACCCCAATCCCCATAAGCACGTCCTCCAGCTGCCATTTCCTTGTTCCTCCCACTCGCCGAGCAAACAGTCGTAAGAAATAGATGATGGTAGCGACGCCGGAGCTCACAATGGGCACAATGGTGAGGACATTTTTCCAATAGGTGTTTTCTTTATACATGATCAATGGCTGATCAATTTAAAAGAACGGAATCAGTTGGTGATGTTCATGCATTCATTTTATTTCGCTTTTTTCTTCTTTTCCCCTTTCCCTCCCCTTTGTGTGGATTTTTCTGTCCCTCGAGGGAGGAAAAGCGAGAGTAAAAATGGTTGCCATTGAGGAACCGCAGCGCAACAAAGAGAGTTTTCTCGTTGGCAATTGTCGGTTGCCTCGGTCCCCTAGCCATGGTTCTGTATAACTTAATATCAGTTTTCAGAGCCAATATTGGGGCTTGTTTTGGATCCACGCCGCCGAGAATTTGCCTCGATACGGCCATACTAGCATGAACCGTCTCGGCATATAGATCTATAATAGGACCGTGTTATTGTATTCAAGTATGCACTGGGGTATGGAGCGTGCAGAATTCGATGCGGGTGCTCAATTAAATCTCGGGCATAAGAAATACGGCGTATATAATGCATCTCACCACCACGTTGGCTGAACTTCGGTCGTGTCCACTCAGTTCCTCCGGCAGGCTCTATGAAAAGTCTATCGGACTCGGAACAGAGAGAGGGGGAAATTAACTTATAGAACGTTTTGCCTGAGGGATTATTTCTTGGTTCCATTCCCTCTCTTATTCGGGCTTCCCTAAAACTCAACTGCAGACTCAATTTTGTGGCTGGATTGACAACATTTGCCATCATGAGACCAGCATTATTTCTCGGCCTGGCGTCATCTGTTGCCAGCGCTGCCAATATATCTTCGTGGTCGACCTTGAATGCCTCTGTTCATGGTCATCTGCATGAGAACAAGCCATTGTCGCTGCCTTGTTTCTCCAGCTACAATGGCCGTCCGTTCGCGAGCGATGCCGAGAAATGTGCGATCGTCCAGGACAACTACACCTCGCCGGAGTTACGGGGAGCTGTTCCGAATGGATACATGAACAACCAGGATGAAATGTGCGCATCCAATCCGCGGGACCAGTGCCTGCTGGATAACAACGATCCCTCCAATCTTTCTCTGATCCGGAATCACACCTGTGCCCAGGGCAATGTGCCCGACTATTATATCGACGTGCATGATGCACACGATGTTGTTCAGGCCCTCCATTTCAGCAACGCCACCGGCGTCCCACTCGTGATCAAAAACACCGGCCACGACTACCTCGGCCGTAGCAGCGGAAAGGGTTCTCTCGCCCTGTGGATGCGAAACCTGAAGAAGCTGCAGTACAATGCCAACTTTGTTCCTACCGGCTGTCCCGCCAACGCCTCGTCCTCTATCAACAACACCGTCACCACTGGCGCCGGTACTATCTTCGATGAGGTCTATCGCTTCTCCGACCGTCATGGCATGACCTTCATCGGTGGTTATTCTTCCTCCGTTGGCGTCTCGGGTGGCTGGCTTCAGGCTGGTGGTCACTCCGTCCTCTCCCCCGTGTATGGTCTTGGTATCGACCGCGTTGTCGAGTTCAAACTCGTTACTCCCGATGGCAAGCTGCGCATCGCCAATGCCTGCCAGAACCCCGACCTCTTCTGGGCCCTCCGCGGCGGCGGCGGTGGTACCTTCGGCGTCGTCCTCGAAAGCACCCACCGCGTCGAGCCGAACATGCCTCTCACCGCGGCATCGATCAAGTTCCCCAAGATCGACAACAATGTCTTGCCCTTCATGGATATCGTCGTGAACAACTCTGTGCGCTGGGCACACGAGGGTTGGGGCGGTCACATCAAGGCCAACTCGCTCATCAACGTTTCGCCTCTCGTCTCCGTCCAGCAGGCCAGCCAGTCGCTCGCCCAGGTCGCTAATTACGCCCGCTCGCAAAACGGCACCGTCCTGATCAAGCGCTATCCCTCCTGGCAGGCTTTCTATGACGCCTTCGTCGCGGCCAATGCCGTCACTGTTGGAAACGTTCACTTAGCAGCTACTCGTCTCATTCCGCAGTCGGTTTTTGCCTCCGCCGACGGCCGCCGCGATCTGATGGACTTCTTGGATTACCTCGTCTCCTCTGGCGGTGACCCGTACATCCCCGTTGTGCCTCCCGTGCTGTACAACGAAACAAGCCCCAAGGACACCTCTGCCACTCCCGCCTGGCGCAAGTCCATCTGGTCCCTCGGCGCCGGCACCGCTTTCGCCTGGAACAGCACCCTCTCCGAACGCCAGAGCAAGATCGCCCACGCAAACAAGGTGACCGCGATGCTGGAGGATATCACCCCCGGGAGCGGTGCGTACACCAACGAGGCCAACCCCTTCACCGAGGACTGGCAGGAGGCCTGGTGGGGTAAGGAGAATTACCAGAAGCTTCTAGCCATCAAGCACAAGTACGACCCGTATGAATTGATGAACTGCTATAAGTGCATTGGGTGGAAGGAGACTGAGGCCCAGGGTGGTTGCTTCTCTGCTCTTCCCTAAAGCGTTCTATGTACATAATAATACCTATATACCAAGTTAATTTGCTACCTTGTTTGTAGCGTTGGTCATAGATCTTATTCTTCTTCTCTTTGGGTATATATATTGGGAACATGCACGACAAAGAACTCGGCCGTCCCACAAAGTGTTCTTCAACACCAACTATCAATCGATCTAGCGAAACCCAAATTCGATGCCGGAACCAGGCAAACTCCAGTTAAAAATGGACCCAAACCATTGATCGAAGCGCTGGCAGCGTAGTGGTAATACCAGTCAGTGCTTGGTTTTACAGTACCATATGAAAGTGTTCAGCATCATATGTTCAGAGCTATCATTCAGCATTACATTACATTATGGTAGGATTAAGCCCATTATACACTCCGTACTCATAAGTCAGACCAATCAAGCGGATGATCTAAGCAGTAGCAGAGATCATACCAGCCCTAGCCTCGATGTCGTCCTTATGCGGACCTCCTTGGCCGTTCTCAGACTGGCTCTCGTCCTGTTTTTGCTTGACGAACGGAAGTTTCTCAACCTCCATAAGATGCATGTACCAAAAGTAGACGCTGCAGAACAATGCACCCCCGACAATGTTTCCAATCAAGGCCGGGATGATACCTTTCCAGATGTACAGCCCAACGCTGATCTCCGGTGCACCGAGGAAGATGGCCATGGGGATGAGAGTCATGTTGGCGACAACGTGATCGAATCCGAGCGAGACGAAACCGAAAATAGGCCACCAGATGCCCATCACCTTCGAGGAGAGATCACGGCCTTGCAAAGCAAAGTAGCAGCCCATACTGACGAGCCAGTTGCAACCGATACCGCGCAGGAAGATCATGTGGAACTCGGGTGTAACTTGTTTCTTGTTGGCGTACGAGATGACTTCGGACTTGTAAGGATCGGCTGAGAAAACCCCTCCGTCTGCTCATGTTAGTTTGGAATCGTGTTATTTCTTTGGGCCCAACGTACAGCCAAAAATAAGCGCCATGACAAACAGAGAACCAGCCAGGTTTCCCCAGAACGTCACAAACCAGTGCACCAGCATCCGCCACCAGGACAACTTGCGGTTCAGAACAGCAACGGTGGTGAACAGGAACGAACTCGTGCACAGGTCGGCACCACAGAGGATAATCATCGCCAATCCATACGGGAAAACCAGCGAGCTGAGAGTACGAATCAATCCACCAGCATTATCTTGGTACCAGGCGGCGGCGTTGGTGCTCAGCAACGTTCCACAGGCAAAAGCCAACAAACTGCCCGCGAAGACAGAGCTGAAGAACACCTTGTCTAACCGACTGTGACCTTTCAGAGCACCGATACGACTGACCGAAGCCACAACCTCGTCGGGTGAAAGGGCGTCAAGCATTTTGTGTATTCAATGTGTCGTCTATTATTCAGTTCGTTCAACGCTAGCAACAAAAAAAAATTGAACGATCGAGACCAGCTCGACTGAAACGTAGATTCGTGAATCGTGGAGAGGATACAAAGGGAAAGCAATCCGGGTACGGACACCCTTATATCTCTGCCGGGGGCTGCGCCAATGCAACCTGCAAGGTCAGCATTTATCTTTGTCCAATGAACAGCGTCCCAGCCCGACTTTGCGAGCCGGAGCACACATGGCCTTTTTCGCATCCTGCATGAATAATCACAGATCAGCGTTCCTAATTTGGCCCTGGGGCTGACTTAGTGCATTTTGATCTCAATACCGACCACAGCGGCTATCGGCCCGGCCTGACAAGTGAGTCAAATTACGGACGATCATTGGCCCGGCCCCAAAATGGTGTCCTCGAACTTTTCCACGGAGTACGAGGGCTTTGCCGGAAAGAATTCTTTCCTTGGCTGTTGCATTCCAGTGGTTCATGATATCCACTGCGCGGCATTTTTCCGTGAACATGTTCGCCCCGTCTCGCATCCACCGGAGGGGCCCATCTCTCCCATCCAGGATCCGAGTGGACCGAAAAAGTTCACCGCAATTTGTGAAAAGAAAGCACGGACTCGGCTTAGAAAGCTTGAAAAAGCTTCTTTTTCATAGTCGGCCCGGACGACGGACGATGGGAGGGGGCAATGAAGACACTCCGGTGCACCGCGGTTGTCGGTTATGTCTAGTGAGAGTGAGTGTAGGAGCACTATGTTGCACTATTCCAGATGGTGTTCCGTATTGCATGAGTAGTATACGTGGTGGACTGACCTAACGATGCACAAAGACGATATTGGAATGGTATGGATTGTCACTGAGACAAGACACTGCGCAACTGACTGCACGTAGAATATGACAGCTTATCTATCTGCTGCACATCGAGTCAGTTCCCGGTCAAATCTGATCTGGAAATGGCACAACCACGAGTATCCTAGTCAACTACTGTACTTGAATGCGTGCGATGTGCTCTAGATGTCCACGTCAAACCAGTACTCCACACGAGCAAGTGGTAAAGAACTGCCGGCTGAGATTCAGCGCTGACGTTCAGAGCATTTCCTGATTGAGAATCTCTGAAGATTGATAATTGAGCAGCTGCGGTATCGGCCTATACTAGTCCCGAGCACAGTCGGCCAGCGATGGATACCCAGGGAGACCGGATATGGTTGACTTGTACGGGGTAAGAAGTACTGAGTACGGAGTACAGAGGTAGATTGTTGCTCATTCCATATAAGTGGTGTGCTCCATGAGATGGTTCTCAAAGCCAGTTCCGTCATCCGCTGAAACCACAATCCACATCACTTTTTGTACAATCCGATGCTCGCGCTTTTCCACGCGGTGCAGACGCCGTTCACTCTGTTGGACTTTACGTGTGACCTTTTTCTCCTTCTCTCGGCTAACTCGCTGCAATTGCTTGTCTAACTTCTTCAATTCCTTTTCCAAATCTTCTTGAATCCACAGTTGACCTTGATTCGACTCACCCAGAGGACCCGACAGCCGTTCGGCCGCCCGGATAGTAGCTTTTGCCTTGGCCGATTCCAACTCGTCGGCTTGCCGATTGAGCTCCCTTTCAACCGATTCGGCTTCGCTGACTTGTTTGGCGGCCTTTTCCCGTTTGCCCCGAATTATACTGTTCTGCCTCTCCGAAAAGAACCGTTCCTGCTTCTCCGACGCTTGCTTCAACCAGTTATCGGACGATGGTCTCCCGGGGTCGAATGTCAGAGGCATCACGTAGTCTTTCAACGCTTCCATTCGCCGCAGCTGTGGATCATATTCCCTCCCCTTTCCCTTGTCTGTGTTGGTGTCATCCAGATCCTCGAACCGCTCATCCTCCCCGGCAGGCCGAAGCTGCAGCACAGTCCGCGGAATTCCAGCTGTATGCATCATCTCCCACGTTTTCAAGATCTGCACGCGAAGTCCCTTGGGCTTGAATAGTTCCGTATTGGCTAGTCGCAGGTACGCTTCGGTGCGCATTTGCGACAGCTTAATGGACCCGTATTCCGCTGCGATCGTGACGCCCAGCCCGACGATTTGTGTTTCCAACAGCGGCATAAAATTCAACACATTCCCAGACACACTTATAGCTTGCAGGTACGGATCCGCTAGCCAGACTTCGTTCAGGCCGTCAACGAAAGCGATGAAGTCGGAGCGAGTGATACCGTGGGGGAGGAGATCGGGGGGGTATGCGCGGGCAAAGGGACGATAGATGCTTCCGTGGTATGTCTGCGCAGTTTCTTCCTTCTCATTAGCCTCCATGTCTTTGGGGTCACTGCTATTGGACTCACGAGGGACGACACATGGCTTGGGCATTCGAGCCGACGGGTCATCGTCGGTCTGGTTATGGATCAATCCGGGTTCTGGTAGTAGCGAGTATGGTGGAAGGGGTTCATCTGGCGTTAATTCATTGCCAGTGCCATGTTGCCAGTCGTGAACTGCATCGTGGACAGCATCGTGGACAGCATCGTGGTGGTGGTTGTCCATCTCTGTTCGGGCGATGGAGAACGTCGGAGGTAGCGCGGCGATAACACTCTCGCTGACTCATCACTATCTACGGTTTTCCCAATGCGGATACTATAAGAGTATGTACCAGAGTACAAGTACTTCGCCCTGAACGGTGTCTATTATTTCACTTTTCTCTCCACTGTCTAACTCTTCTTTTCCAGCGTTTCCCGCAATGCGTCCACCCACCCGAGCTTTCCCTCCGCGAAGATCTCGCCTCCCGGTTGCATTCGTTGTCCGCCGTCGAGGAGGATGGTCCGGATGATGATGCGATCGCCCATGACGGCCTGATGGTGGTAGATGTGCGAGGTGCAGGTTGGGCAGAAGTAGCAGTGGACAGGATTTCCGGAGGCGCCGGTGTAGGTGTAGACTCTGGGTTGCCCAGTGAGGATGCGTAGTTGGTCCTGTGGTCGTCATTATCATGGTCATTATTATTATCATTAGTTTCATTATCGTGGTCATCAGGCTCTTCATGCTCATAATGAAGGTGTTCATCATCGCCATGATCATGATGTTCATGGCCCTCATTTTCATCCTGATTCAGCGGTTACAGGAGTGCTGGGGGGATAGTTCGGATAGAAATGCCTTACCTTGTGAATGATCTGGTTCATCGAGTACGGCCCTCCTCCCAGTTTCCGACAGGTATCGCAGTGGCAGAGAATATGTTCCGGGTCGGTAATCTCAGCTGTCCAGACACATGATCCGCAATGGCAGCTGCCGTTGTAGGTACCGGCGCGCATTGCAGGTTTCTTCGCTGGAGGTCCGAATAGAACGCCATCCCGAATGTCTATACAGTTAGCAGGTATATTAGCATCGCAGACTGGGCGACAGTACCGATCACAACTGAATCATCACTGTAACAAGTCAGCGCGAATCATTCACGGGTTACACGAATGCCTACATCAATGGCGCTGCATTGCGCGAGAACTCCAAATGCACTGGGTCCTCCGTCAGATAGTAATCCAGGTCCGCCTGGTTCTCAAACTCCAGTACAAAACCATGCGTCAACCCCTTGTTGAATTCTTCCCAGCTGCGATTCTTGCCTGTTCACGGTCAATGCCGGTTCCTCCTTCCGTATAGTCCAACAAGCTTACCAGCCTTCATGCTCTTCATGTATGGTTGCTTGGTGTCCGGCTTGACGCATTTCGATTTTAGCGCCATGAAAATATCAAAGTGCTTCTCAAAGTCGCTCCATGTTATGTCCGGCTTGTACTTGAAAAGCACAATGTGTGTGATCACCTCGGTCATGGTTCAATATGTATATCCGGCAGTTCGCAGACTCAAATTCGCACAATTGTGACAACTCCAATTGACGCTCGAATGGCGCAACCTGCCCAGCTTTAAATAATCTCTCCCCGGCCATGACCGCGAGCTCAATTACTGTCGCGACAAGCACAATTGCATCAGTTTCAATCGCAAAAGCGGCCAGAATTGCTCTTTTGGTTGCAAAAGGCAATACAATGCGGAGGGAGTGGAGCTGAGCTGCTGGGGAACGACAATGCAGGGAAGTATTCCCCGCGACAACCTCTCAGCTAGTCCAAAAGAGAAAGGAGACCAATGCAGCACGCGGGAAGGGAGAAACAATAGGTCAAGGATTCGGCTCTTTGTCGAGGACGCTTTATATATGTATAGCACTGAAATAGCCACCAAGGTATTGGTCTACACTCAACGGTCGATGCCTGGAGATCCAATGGATATATAACGCTGACTTCATTATGCAGATAGACCACAAGAATATTAATCTAGATTCAAGTGCAACCAAAGAGACATTTAACCGAAAGTCGTAAATAAGCGTAGCTCATAAATCATAAAGATTCCCAGATTGGCTGGAGTTGTTCATCATCCTTCCCGTCGCCAGCCCCTTGTGTGAGTCGATACACCGCACTCAAGTACAGGCTGCTGGATTGCATGCGCTGCTCATCTCCCCAACGCGTCTTTTCAAATTCCCGGAGAAGCTCATGAGTGCCCTGCGGGAGAAGCACCCTCATGCTCTGTGCGGCAAGCTGAATCACTTGCAAAACTCCCCGAGCCAGGGCGAAATGGCGACCAAAGTCCCGCGCAGCAGTACACAACGTGACAAACGCCTGGCTGTTTTCCGGAAATTCCAATCCTTCAAGTATTGACAGACAACCGACCGCCACACATTGTATCGTCGACTGGTGCATGCGTTCGACGCCCCATTGCTGACGGTGGATGTCAAACAAAGCGGCAATATTTCGCACGGTGGCAAACCGACGGCCTTGGTATTCCTCCACGCTTATAGAATCATCGTTTCCGTGAGCTTGCGATCGAAGGATGCTGTAAAGCTGTGCGCACGCCGTATAATAAAACAAACTTAGGAATGTTTGTCAGTACATGAAACTGAAGAGTCGACCGGTACAAGGGAGTAGACGTACTGTAGAGAGAGTATATGTGGTACTGTTCTCTCCCCCACACGTAGACAATCCGGCAGATTGGCATACCAGCCTTGGAGCTGGCACTCGATATTCCTGCCAATGGCCGACACCTGTGACGGCGAAGTTATATTCTCCGAATCGAAAAATGTCCGAGTAATATTGATCATTATGCAACACAAATCGCACCACCGATGAAACGAAGAGGATAAATGGCTTGGTATCGGGTCCATTTGCTTGGGGTACGGTGTCCAGATTTCGCTCGCTTTCTCGTGATTCATCAAAGGTCGGGGGCGTTGTGGAGGTTCCATGTCGACATGTCTGAGTGTGCACAGATTGACCGTGCTAGAAAAGTTAGCCTTTTCTTGCACACATTTTCACCAGAAGAAGGATATGGAGTTACCAGCAGATATTGAAAACACCCCACAGCGTCTCATTGATGGCATCCTCCATGATCCGTACCGATTCCTGGTCTGTCGGTCGGTAAGGATGCGATATATCGTATTCTTTGGCTGCCCGAATAGCCATATCCAGGTACATCCATCCAATGTGGCCTTTCCCCATCATTGTAATGCTAATGCGCGGATTAGCTGGCATAGTTGTCGAAGATACAACCAGACAACCCACCGTACAAATAGGGTAATTAGACCTTGTATTGTCGGGAGGCTGACTTGTTCCTCCTCTTCCTCTTCAAACAAACGCAACGTCTCCTCATGAAAATGGTCGCCTCTGGATATCATCTCGTCCGGAACCGTGAATACCTCGCAATAGTCCGAATAAAGCTGTAATCCCGAAGAAAGAATGAGTTTCATTCGTCAGTCTCCATTACGCCTGTTCAGAAAGCCGTCATATTTGCGTACACTTGTCTCTGCGAGAATGGCATTCACCAGGAATGGTGAGCAGAACTCACAGTCCAGTTGACCGGCCTGCATGTCCCGGATGAAAAGGTCCCGGTTAACCCAACGAAACCAGGGATGGCTCCAGGTGAGCCATATCGAGATCAGATGGGACACCAAATCGTCGTCGTCGGTCACGGTCGTCCAAGGCTTCGCGGGGACACGGTAGATGGGAACGTCGACCAAACGCTGGATGGGCATCACGCATCGACGCGGACGAGCGTAGGATTCTTCTTTCGGTATCCGTGCAAGATGATTCTGAGTTTCGACAACTTCGGGCATCCTCTCTACCTCCTCCGGAGAGAACTGCCGCTCGAGGAAGAAGCTAATTTCATCGAGGGACGCGTTGCTGCGGATCAAATTGATCAGCTGACAGGTGCGTATACTCTGGTCATCCTTCTTTAGGGTTTCAACCAGGTTTAACAGCAGGCGTTCGGCATCCTCAAGCTGCTCAATCCTGCGCTCCATGGCACCTTTACGGCGCATGTCGCTCAACACGTTCGTTTGGCAATCAATGCCGTTGATGACACAGTAATCACATGGAGGGCCACCGCGACACTGACCCCGTCAGAATAAGCCGTAGCAGAGGCCCAGGGGAGAAGAGAAAAGAAAACACGGGCCATACCTTGAGTTTCTTCTGCTTACATATCTCACAGGCTGTCGTTTTGTGCTTCCGGAGGGGCAGAGAAGTCTCTTCCGATGGACCCTGACCCGATGGGGGATGCCCGAAAGGGGAAGCAGTCAGAGTTTCGTCGCGGCCACCTCGAGGAGCTGGAGCAATCGGTCGTGGAGGCCACGGCCGGAGTGGATCAGACATCAAGAGGGGGAGCGCGTATGTCGTAGTGTTATTCAAAATTCTATGTACTCTGTAAAGGGAACAATCTTTCGACATAGATATATCCATGTGCGTATATTGAAACCCTCTTTTTTTTCTCCTTTCCTCGCCCTCATCAAGCCAGCAGATACAAATCTTCTCTCACTGCAGGTGGGCCAGCATGTGGTATCGGATTGCCAATCAGCAGCCAACCGCACTCAACTATGCGCTGCAGTACTAATGAATCCTCCACCGTGATCTGTGGATGCGCCCATTCTGGACATGACCTTTGTTTGCTGGCTCTCACTTCCGACAGGCGCGTGCTCGGCAAATGGCCAATGAGGATAGAGGTATGTTAGGGGAAAATACATCCCCCCCATACGGTTCGATATTATTGGCTGTCTGGATCCCATCAAGGAAGGTAACTGGGCAGCCTTGGAAAGTGCTTTTGGTCACACGGGGTTAGCCCCGTATCGGGGCTTGTTAGACTCGCCCGGGCGCGCTTCGGGATGTGTAATGCTGTTCTTGGTAATTATAGACGAAAATAGCACTTTTCACAACACCATTCTGTGGTGTTTTGCCATTTGCGATTCACGTGGGACGTCACTCCAGATTCCCTGGAAATGGTGCCGCAGATGCCCGTGGATCTGGTATTCGCCACACCTTGTGCCTTAAGCTTAAATCCTCGAAATGGAAGGCGCTGGTTCACCAGTCTGACAACTTGTCGATTGCCAGAAGTACAGCAAAGACGTTCGTGACCAGATCGAGGCCGGTGGACCACAGCCCTCCACCGCCAAACCAAACCCTCATCTCATCCCAAGAGCCCCAACTATACCTAACCTCAACCCCCGAGGAAATGAGAAAATGTCCTGAACCCAGGAACAATCCACACCCCCCCCCCCCCCCCCCCCCCCCCCCCCCCGGCGCTCCTGCGTCTCCCAGTTAATGGCCGACCACGTCGTCTCCGAATTTCACGAACTGCGCTCTTACAAAGTCGGCCTACTTCACAAGCTCGGCGGTACAACGGCAGGCATCCGTACCACTTTGCCCAGCACCTCGTCCACATCATCGGCCATGTGCTCGCCGATATCCACTGCAGCGAAAAACTCGGACGATGGGCCATGCTTCCACGAAACAGATTGAACGCCAAGGAAAAACCTATTCCACCGTAAGTATATCAGAAGAAATAACGGAAAATGAACCCTCTCTTCAGATTCCGAGCTAACATGTGCGTATTGCCAGCGGTACGGGCATCCGAAGAAAGGTACTCCGTATTTGCCCACAGTACATCTCCTTCTGCCATGCACCCTCTTGTTGGGATATTCCGAATCGTTCGACGCCTTTTGTGCTTGATTCGCCCAAGTATAGCAAAGTTGTTATACGAGATACGTCCTTGTCCAGTCAGCATCCGCCTAGCACCTGCTCGTCGATCGCTGCGACATCAGACCGGAGCCCTCGAGTCAGTGTACCGCAGCATTGCGACGTTTTGTAATTTTATGTCGCCATTGCCTTAGGACGACTTGTGGCAAACATTCGCATCCGGCTTGTGAGATCAGGTACACTTTTGCCACCGGTGCGAATTGGAGATGTCCGAGCTTTGTAGGCTTCGCGCCGTGTCGTATCATCGACCCGAGAAAATAACTCTCCATGGCTTTCAGAAAACGAGACAAGCAATGCTTCCAAGCTTTCCAAGCACTGCTAGTTCCGCAACCTCGCCTATGCGCACTCGTCGCTGAACAATTGCCTGTGCAGACTTCTTTCTGAAAGGGATTCAAATCTAAAATGTAAAAAGTCTGCATAGAATGTACTGTTGCTAGGCTCGAGGTCGCGTCGCCAAGGTGCAGTGCCCTGGACTGCTATTCCCTATGTCGCGGGTTCCAAATCGGTCTTACCTCAACAAACAGGAAAGCTTTGGGCGTGATACATTATCCGGAATAGGACGATCATCAGGGGTCTAAGGTAGCCAGGCAGGAGTCACTATTCGCAGTATGACCGAATCAACAGTGCGCAGAATCACGGGAGAAGCGGTCCATGACTGAAAGAACCTGCAACTTTTTTTCAAGAGTTAATTGAGTTAGCAGGTAGTCTCGTAAAAGTCTTCATGGAGGAAAAGAAAAAGAAGAAAATACCAGAAACCTTCTCCCCAATCTGATTGTGATTCTCTCAGCGCGCAGCAACCCCTCCGGAGCAGTCCACTTTTGGTCCGTTAGGTTTAGACTGGCGATATCCACGTCCTCATGAATGTGTTCAATCATCCACCATGTTAAACCGTGACATTTGGAAGCAAATTGAAGCGTGTGCATGCTTCATCGTGTGTTGCAAAAAGGAAGTCCTCTGTGCAGGGCTGTCGTGTCAAGGCGGAATGTGACTTTAGAGACCACTCCTTCCAAGTTTCCGCCAATTCCAGGGGCCAGAATGACGTTTCTGCGGTAAATCTGGAAACCTGATACTGATTCGTCCGGAAGTATCAGGCGAGTCCAATCAATCGAGCCGATGGCGGAGTGGCCACCACGCGAAGGGGCCGCCAACCGGTCTCACTCTCAGATCTCGTGGCATGTCTGGTGAGGTGTTGTGAGATCATAAGGACGTAGTCCAAGGTCTCCTCAAAACGGACAGCCTCATTCCATGGCAGTACTTGCTGTTACACTTCTCTACTGCCGTTGTATGCTCACTGTCGGATTCGTTGACAGATACGGAGAATGCTATATAGACAGGCAGGCAAAGAGGCGAGACTAAGACGCAGTAGAATCAGTCTATCTTCTCCCACATCGACTCCAACCTCTGCAAGCACGCCATATTCAAGTTAAATGCACAACTATACCGGGGGTATTCAGTGTGCAACTGCAGACTGAGCGTATAATCCATGTAGTCTCGGTCCACCGTAACTTGTGCCATTACTGAAATACCGTGCATTGAAGATCGAATTGCGTGGTAGCAGTACGGAATGCTCCGTATGCATAGAGATTCAGCATGAACTTGAAATTTCACAAAAATGTTTTTGTATTTCTAAATTGGATTGTACGATATTTCATGTAGTGCATAAGAACAATAATGATTGCTCAATTATATGCACGACAGCTCTTGCCTATTTGGGACAGCTACTCAGGTACCGCCCACAAGCTATTGGTAAATTACTCACCGCCTCAACATACTGCCGGGTTTTCTGTTTCCGGATGCGATCCATCAGCTCAAGTTCTCTGCTTCGTAGCTGTCGCTACACTACTAGACCACCAGTGGCCGTCAATCGCGTCCAGCACTGTATTCGGAAAAATATTACAACTTCCCTCCTCCAAGCCAGTTGCTTCATCCTGCCGTGAGTCTTCTGATCTACAAGTGCCTGAACAGCCGCGCAAACTGTCGTAACACTTGCTAACCAGAGTCCTGATCCTCAGACAATGCGCGTCCCCGACGATATCGCACAAGAAGCCGAAGAACCCCGAAAGCGAACAAGAGTCGGCTCTGTTAACCGTCAATGCTATGACTGGATGGTCATCACCGGAAACTGCCACTATGCGCGAGACCAAGCCTCGTTCAAGACGTACCGGCCCGTGTCACGACAAATAAAAAGCAACATTTTCAATCCCTTCGATGAACTACAAGTGGCAGGAATAGGAACGGTGGAATTGGAGCTCTGCAAGAGTCCGCAAGACCTTAGCTCACATACCGTTCTCCTGGAGAATGTACTGCATATCCCCGAAGCGGTTTGCAATGGTTTCAGTCCGTTACTGTACGGCACCAGCATGTCATGCAATGAGGATTGCTGGGTTGGTGGTGATACCATGGGAAACCCGGTCTGGTTCAGTACACCTTTTGCTGGAGGGACTAAGTTAGCCCTCGCAGGGAACCCGCAAGGAGAATCCGAGATGATCCAAGGGCGCTACTATACGCTCTGTTTACGCGTTAGTCCGGAAGAGTGGCAGTCGATATTAACACCGGACGATATGAATGGGATGGAGTCATGATCTTGTCCGTTTGGGCGCCTCTATGTGTATCTAATGTAAAATAACACGAGTTTGATGTTTATCAAAGCTTGATCTGACCTAACTATAGCCCATAATTCTAACCGACAATGACTCGATAGATGCGGGCCAAAATGCTCTATATGATTACCATGTATTCGTTATCAACACTGGTATAGTTCTGTAATGGGTATATCGAACAAAAGAAAGCCCTAAATATGCATCCTCCGTGTAGCTGGCCTGTATCCGGCCTGAATCAATCACCAACCATATAACGCCTATGCCTTTTTAACCCAAACAAAGGAAAGTTTTTTTTTTTTTTTTTTTTTTTTTCAAACCATATTTCTCGCCTTACTCTGAACGATGGTCTCATGGACCACCTTGATTCCGTCCTGACTGCGCTGGCTCACCGCATCCCAATCCTGATCATGCATATTCGACTCGCAAGTAGGCGGGTGTTGTCTGGATGTCGGCAAAATCATTTGTTCATCATTGTTTATAGTATTGGCCCATTGGCTTTCACCAGGGAGGGAGAGCGGATGGCGGAACTTCTTGCGACGGCTGTGGTCCGACTTGTCGGTATGGTATCGGTTCTCTGATAGAGGATGGGAGAGGTTATCAGAGGTACTGCCGCCAAAGGACGAGAGGTAGCCGTTGGCACGGCGAGCAATTCGGCGGACAACGGGGTAGATCATGGGGATGTTTCCAATGACGACGGCGACGAATGTTTCTCGGCAGGCCCAGCTACCGGCTTGTTGGGCGCCGTTGGCACCGGCCTAGTTTGTCAGTTTACGGGCAATACAGGGTCAAGGGGAGGGGAGACGTACCGTGACGATCAATACACAGCGCAGAATACCAGCGGCCATGACGAAGAAACCACCGCTGAAGAGGACGAGAAGTTCACACTTTTCCCACCAGGGGAGACGAGCTTTGAAGAGCATCGGAGCAGGAATGCTGATGAGGTACAGATCTGTGGCAACATTGAGAGTGACAGTCACGAAGACGTCGATTGAAGATACGGCAGGCTGACAGTAATCTGCATATGTCAGAAATGATCAGATGGAAAGGATATGGTTGACATACTGCCTGGGTCGGGATATATTTGCCAGTTCTTATGCATAGGATGGCATCCAAAGAGAATCGAACAGATGACGGCGATGTACGTGACGCCAATGAAAACATAGGCCAAGCGCACACGGAGATGCATGTTCATCAACCCAGAACTAAAGAGTCAGCATCGTCGTGGCCTTTGCATCCTAGTCAACACTCACGTCAGACGCGAATAAAACACCGCCATACAGGTCTTGAGCAGCCATAACAGCAGCGTATACAAGGACCAGCCCATAACCTGCGTCTTCGAACCCCCTACACGCAAAAGGAACTCCTCAGAGTCCGGACTGAGGGCGAGCCGCTGGGCGTCCGTCATGGAATTATTCGCGAGGCCTTTCCATTTCGCCCCAACGCTATATGCAGCGCCGGTTTCAAGGCCATAGACCACGGCCGCCAGCGGCATGAGATAGTCATCAACTTGAAAGTTGCGGATGCCCACCATAGACAACCGGGCACCGGTGCGTATCACAATGACTACCACCGCCAAGCTCAGAAGGGTAAACGCCTCGATGGTAAAGTTATCGGCCATAGTGAATCAACCTGACTGCGGCAACAAACAACGGGCGTTTTCAAAAGGTTGACATCGAAAGAGCATTTCAAAACTTAAAACCGCGGGCTTAAAGCCAGGGGAAATTTACGAAAATATAACTGCTGCAGAAAACCCAGCAGACCCGCCTGGAGGGGATGCCGGAAATGATAGATAAACGGTGCTAATCTTGGTGGAGTTATAGTAGAAACAGCTAGGGTGAAGAATTTCTGATGTTCCGCGAGAGCAATCACAAAATCTAGAGTCCCGGGAGCAGAGCCGGACGATGAACCGGTAGCCTCGTTAGCCGAGATGTCTGTGCATTTTCATTTGCATCTCTCTCGTTTTCGGATATTCTGCACTATCCGGTGGCCATATCCGGGAGGACGAGGGGCAAGGAATAAGCAAGCAAGCCTTGTTTTTCGTTTTTTTCTTTTCTTTTTTTGGCTAGCCCAGGTGCATTGCTCTCATATACGTAGTGTTTGGCACACGGCGTGCTTAGTCCAGACCCACGCCACCGGATGACAGAAGTTAAGCCAAACTTAGAAAGAATATGCCGAGGGGACTAGTTACAAGTACTTTGTGGACAGAATGAAACGATCACCAGGCTGGAATCTCATCCGACGGACCCGCCATTCTGGCATTGGAGCCTTGTATATCGATCGGCGTGGGTATGGACAGCAACCACTGGATGAATGGGCCACAAAGAGGTCTGACAGGTATGAAAAAATTTTGTAGTTCCGTGAACTGACTAGTATCGGACCCAACATGGAGGGTAAAAGAGGAAGCAAGGGAACCGGTGTTTTCCGGTACTGGTCCTGGCAGTGTTGGGGACGTTCTCTTTCCAATATTAGAGTACTATTCTTGTCAAGTCTGAAACGCCTTCTTATTAGGGGTCGGCAGTCGGCGGTTTGACAGCGGGACCGGCATTTTGGCTTTGACTTTGCAATCTACTTACTTGCATGTACATACCCCGTACATGTCACTACTCCCTCTGCTATTTCATTAGTTCGTCATATTCGTCAGCTTATGCACGGGAACTTTTGCATTCAGTACAGATATATACATCTCTCGCGGAGAACATCCGGGCGATGTCCCTTTTTCCAGTTCACATTAGTGGGTACTAGAGACTCAACGGGGAACTGGCACAAAAGGACCAACAGACCCACTGGCCGTTACTGACTAGCCGGAAATAAATCCTCGCCAAATCAGAAAGAAGAGAGAATGCGCCGTCGAACTTTATCCTGCTCAGACGGCTCTTAATCCCCGGGCCGTTTGCTCGCCTGTCATGCTCTTTTGGTGGAAATCTGTCTTGTCTGACCATAATGGGTACTTTGTGCTTCCGGGTTTCCATTAGTCCAGTCCAGAATCAGGATGTGCGAAATGATCGGGAATAACAGCCAGGTAAAAATAAAACCAGGGATTTCCTCTCGTTTCTTTCTTCTCCTGAAGAAGCAGAACATATTGGCATGCATTGATTTATGCTCCGAGCATTGTATACTTGATATTCAGTACCATGGAAACAGTTGATCTGGTCGTCGTCGGCGCCGGTAAGCATTCATTATCTTCACCTCTATCTCTTGGGCGTACTAACGGATTCAGGCTGGAGTGGTCTTGCAGCCATCAAAACCTATCACGACGTCAATCCATCCAGCAATGTCCTCCTCCTGGAGTCCGCGTCGTCCGTCGGTGGCGTTTGGGCTAAGCACCGGTTGTACAAAGGCCTCAAGTCCAACAACATGCTAGGCACCTACGAATTTAGCGATTTCCCCATGACCGAAAAGGCCTTTGGCGTCAAACCCGGTGAACACATCCCCGGCCATGTCATCCAGACGTACATGGAGAAGTACACCGAGCACTTTGGCTTCACCGATCGCATTCGTCTCGAGACATACGTGCGCAGCGCCGAGCACCGTCCGGATGGGACATGGCTGTTGACTACAGCGTCGCAAAAGGATAACAATACGGAACAGACAATAGTGGCCAGGAAGTTGATTGTGGCAACTGGTATCACGTCGCAGGCATTCCTTCCCAGCTTCCAGGGACAGGATGACTTTGGCGCACCTTTGTTCCACTGTCGTGACCTGCTCGAGCATGAGTCGCAGGTGCTGCAGTCTGGAAAGAAGGCGGCGGTGTTCGGAGGTACCAAATCCGCCTGGGATGCTGTGTATGCCTGCGCGACGTCGGGGATGCAGGTCGACTGGGTGATTCGTGAGTCCGGCCACGGGCCTATCTGGATGGCGCCGCCGTATGTAACGCCGCTGAAGAAGTGGCTAGAGAAACTGGTGACCACGCGGTTTTTGACATGGTTCAGCCCGTGCATCTGGGGCGACGCAGATGGCTTCAATGGTGTACGGTCATTCCTGCACGGTACCTGGTTAGGACGCAAGATTGTTGACTCATTCTGGTCTACCTTGGCGAACGATGTCGTCCAGCTCAATGGCTACAATGAGCATCCCGAAGTGAAAAAGCTGAAGCCGTGGATTAGTCCGTTCTGGATCGCTTCGTCACTGAGTATCCTCAACTACCCGACTAACTTCTTTGATCTGGTGCATGACGGCAAGGTGCGCATTCACGTCGCCGACATTGATCATCTGTCGCGCAACTCGGTACACCTGGCCAACGGCACTGTGCTAGACGATATCACGGCGCTTATCTGCGCAACAGGCTGGAAGGCAACACCCAACATGCAATTCCTGCCGGTTGGCATCGACCGCGATCTGGGCTTCCCATGGAGCGAGGACTCGATGGATGAAGCGCTGGTGCGCAGAGCCGATGAGGAGATTCTGAAGCAATTCCCCAAGCTGCGGAACCAGCCCACACCCAACCCGCAGTATCGTCCACTGTCGGACGATGCGCCAGCGACAGCAACCCACCCATTCCGTCTGACGCGCTTCATCGTGCCTCCATCGTTGATTCATGAGCGCTCCGTCGCTTTTATGGGTGTAACCATGACCATCAACACGACTATGATCGCGCAAACCCAAGCACTTTGGATCGCGGCTTACTTTGATGGCAAACTCGACGTGAACCCAACTGTTTCGTGTCCACCGGACGTGCGTGAACTGCTCGCCTCAGCCAGGGTCTCCGAGACCAAGGAGCCAATCGCCAAGGAAAATACCCTAGGCCAGGACGAAGAGCAGGACCCCAATCTCGATCTCATTTGGGAGACAGCTCTACACAGCGAATTCGGCAAATACCGCTACCCCGGTGGTTTCGGACGCCGCAACCCGGACTTTGTCTTCGACGCGCTGCCATATGTGGACATGCTTCTCCGGGATCTGGGCCTAAAGACGAACCGTAAGGGAGGCGCTTTGGCCCAGTGTTTTGCTCCGTATGGTGTGGAGGATTACCGGGGGTTGGTGGACGAATGGAAGAGAGAGAATGATACCCTATCTGTATAGTCAGAACACTCCGTTAGCATAACATAATTTTAATCAAGCGTTTGATTCGTTTCATTATGACTCGCGTGGATGTGATAGCTCCAGTTGATACATCGGATCGCTATCGGACATCGCGTACGCTTTTTGTTTTATTTCCACATGGCTGATCATGGAGAGTAAGCTTAACCATCCCTCGGGACAGAGTTATTTGTATTATGCACATATAGATTGTTGATGGAAAGAGTGCTTTCGATATTGGTCACGTGGTAGAACCTTCCACTTTGGGAAAGTGTCCTCCTTCCTGTCTCATCTACATTCGGGAATGAAGGTACACTAGACACTCCAAGTATGACTACCGTCGCTATTTGGTCCCTGTTTTACTATGCCAGAGGTATTGTTATCAGCGACTATCGTGCTACTAATTCCTCAACACCATCCTACATCCCTGAACGACCGGCACCAAATCGCTTACAAATGGCTTAGCATAATAAGCTCTTTTTGGAACTATACTATTAGTTCCGTGGTTTGAATAGTGGCTGTTGAAACTCAGACAAGGCATCTACTCTGCTCAGCCTCAGCCTTGTCAGATTCAGGGCAAATAAAACAAAACTCCTCGCTCAATTCGTAGTATCCAAAACCGCGCAACAGTTCATTGATGATATAACCCATAGAAAGAACAGAACCATAATCACGGGCCGCCATCGCTTCGGTCTTCATGATTGTTCAAATAGCACAGCGATGGAAAACCGCAGACTGGAAGCGAATCCTGACGTTTCTGGGATCGGAGTACGTCACTTGCTTCCAATAATAACAATCTACAAGTATTAAATGATCTAAAGGTCTTGGTAGAATTTCTTGCTACTTCTTGGGCATGTCTCATTGCCATGGTCTTCTACTACGTCGTTACGCCACAGAATCGGATACTGTGCTTGATATGTCTATACACAAGGTCATACATAAGGTCTTCAAAAGAGTACCGTCGTTACCTTGGGCTCCAGCTTCAGGGGCTGTATGTATTGCTACTAACCAGATATCAGGCTGCTGCAACGCCATAAATGGTCTTAGCTCAGGTTGTATTAGCATTGAGTGACCAACTGCTAGTTACTGGACTTGCATTCATCATCAGTGGTTATTACCAGCCCCAGTGTGGACTGTCAGTCTATCATTGGCAGATCATAACAAGGCTCGTCCGGTTTGTTTCGGTCACACACATCGCAACTTTAATCTGTCTGGAGAAATACTTCGAAAAACATCGCTACATCTGGTACGTAAGGGTATTCCTTATGACCGGGCTCGCCATAATGCTCGCGATATGAATTGCCTTCAATGGGGATGAGCCCAGCTCTTATCGTCCTGAGATACCTATTGTCTGCCGCTTTGATAGCCATGGGTATCGCCTTGACTGGATTATGGGATGAGGTACACTCATATCCGAAACCATGCTCATTGGCGGATTCGTCGTGCGATTGATACAGATGCTCTCGATCACTAGGAGATTCTGCAGTCCCTTTTTCCAAGTGCTCAGAAAACTATGGCGGGCAGTTCTGGTTTGGCTTAGTGGGAAAGCCCAAGAATGGCGCCGCTGTCTGCAAGCTCTTGCCCTGTCATTCATGGTTTTTGCCTTCGTTGTCTGTCTCGTTCCAATCCCTACTCGACTTTGTGCGCTCTCGAACTTTCGGTTGATATCCTACCGAAACTAGACCTTGAAGGTTCTGACTGGCGACCAGCTATTGTGGCTATTATTTTTACTAATATGGGAGACTATCCAACTCTTCATCTACCGCATTCGGGTGATGGATTCTCATAATTCGAGACAAGGGATTGAAGATGAAGGCATAGTCAAAGAGGATACTTGGAGCTCTGGTCAACTAGTGCCAGTATTCATGCTTCTAGTACCTCTTCTACTGATAGTGGAGGGTTGCTCTGGTAAAACTCGTGTTCGAAGTAACTATGATTTTGCTAATTGCCACTTACAGATATGATCTATAGACGCAAAACCGAGTACAAGAACCATGATGGCTCTTATAGCAGCCTCGCGCCACATATTAGGTCTCAGGAGCAGCTCGAGTTGAGTTCCGTGGACTACAATAAAGACACCCGTCTCCTGCAAGATCAAGCAAACCGGGACACCGTTGTACCACCTCAGGCTATGGTGGCACATGGCTTGTCATTTCCCATGCAAGCCTCTGCTGAGCCACTGCTTAATCGAATTTCAAGCCTTTGCCAAAGGCAGTTTCACAGTGAACCGTGGTACCTAGACAACATGCGGCTTGCCATAGCCGTAATGACTGGCGTGGCAGGCTTTCTCTTCGTCAGGGGCCGAGATGATACTTTTATCATGTTTGTATTGGTGCTTGCTGTATCTGTAGCTTTCCTTTCTTGTTTGGCCTTGATTCCCTTGTGTGAAGTACTGGACAGTCTTGAGTCAAAACAGCTAGCTAAACGGTGCCCTCTATCTGTTGTCAGGATTGCAGTCGATCCTGGAAAGGCGTACCGAGTCTTGCGATACATTTATTCTGTATTCTGTCCTATCTCTTCTCTCGGTTATGGTGTCATCTTGTCGGTCTATGGAACTTATGTTTCAATGGTCCCTATGCTTATCTGGGCTGGATTCGTTTGTTTGTTGATCGTTGTCGCATCGCTTATGGTCCCAGTTTTCATCTGCAGGCAACTCTACTCACAGAAGACACTCGAGGTTCTCTGAAGCCGACGCTCCTATACTTATATCGCTTGATTTCTGAGGCCTTTTCGGATCTTTATTTATCATACCATAGTACCTATTTCTATATTTAGCTTGATAATCTTACGCTATCATTTCTTAATGCGCCTGCGTCGTACTTATTGCGCTCCCTCATGCGTACGTGTCTTATCAAACGGGGTATCATTGCATCCCTTGCAGTTTTCTGACTGATATGCTGGCAGACTCGTAGTCTGGGGTACCAGGAACACATCCATCACTGCGCCTTATGGCGATTCATGGTAGCGATCTTCTTGAAACGAGGCTTCGTCAATGGTTTACAGTAGACTTCAACGGCAATCAAGCATAACATAAATCACTGGTATTATCATGCAGTAACTACATAACCCTGTTCTATAGACAAAAGACTATAACCACCCATGTACTCTGTACAAAGCAAGCCGTAAGAAAAACCCGAGAATGCCTCCGCGTAACCCCAATGTAACCAACGCCAATAAAAAAGGAACGAAGCCGACTATACATTATTCATGTTCTCGTTTGACGACTGGGCCGTCTTTACCACATCCTTTGACCAGAAGATGGCGCTTTGAGAGTTAGCTTTCATCCATTCTCTCGAGCAGAAGTAAACAAGCACACCTTTAGTGCATCCTTTCGCGAAAAACTCTTATCGCAATGCGTACACGGAAACGGCTTGACAGAGAGATGGATTCGCTTATGTCGCTTGAGATCGTGGTTCCGATTAAAGCTCTGTGGGCACTGATCGCACTTGAACGGCCGATCTTGGGTCGGCCCGCCCAGGCCCGATCCCGAGCCTGGAAGATGTGGCGATTGCGACGCAGGCCCTTGGTACATTCTCGCGACATGACCGCTGTTGAACCCGGGAAGGATACCGCCAGCTGAGGGCATATTGGGCAAAACGGTCATTTGGCCGCCTGGGTTGTGGATGTTGGTGCGGACGGGGCCGTTCATGGCCGGGAGGGAATAGGAGGGCCATGGTTGTCGAGGGGGGTAGACGAGGGAATTCATAGAGGCGGGCGAGGACATGGACGAGGAAAACGAGGAAGACGAGGAGGAAGAAGAGGACAATGAGTTTTCAGCTGCGAGTGGCTGCTGCGGTTGGGCGGCGGAGAAAGACGGCACAAGCGACGGGATCTCGTACGGCTGAGAGATGGCGACATTGGAGTCGGTGATCTGATTGGGATTCGGTGCTTCGTATAGATTCCACGCATCTTGAAGATATCCCTGAGTGTTATTGTTGACTGGCCACGAAGACTGCGCCGGCGCTCCGGTCCAGTACGATGCTGCAGTGCTGATGCTCGGGGATGTCGATAAGGGAGACACGAAATGGCTGGCGGGATGCGAAGTCGCGGCCAAAGTCTGCGGTGGATAAGAAGAAAAGGCATTCGGAGGGAGAGACTGGGTAGTCAGGGCATCGAGAATGGTCATGCTGGATTAATTGCTTGAAAGGATTGCGAAATTCGACGTGTAATGGACAGTTGTTCTGATAGTGAGTGTGGAATGGAGGTCATCCAGGCATGTCGGAGTCCAACACAGACGGAAAAGTAAGTTCAAATAAGAGGGGAGTGAGCGATAAAGACTGATAAAGATTAAAAGCAATATGGCATTTAACCAAGAAAAAGAAAAAAAAGAAATGCAGACCGGACAATTGAAAACGTCTGGGTTCCTGAAATATATACAGCGTCCGGCGCCCCGAGACCACAGACAGATGTCAATTGTCGATCCAGAGGCGATCCGGTTCTTGATCTACAAAGAGAGACACCTCTAAATGGCAAAGGAAAGGAAATGAAAGAAGGGCTCCTTGCATGGAGGGAAGTCCGAGAGTGCCTATGTGTAGTGCATCGGGCATTCGAATAAAGAATACGAGCATGGGTGCTGTTAGGATTGGCCGGGGGGATAAAGAGCAAACAAAACCTTGTTGATGTGATCAGTCAAGTCTTTAACCGAGTCATGCCATGATATATCGAGTTACAGTATGCCAGTGTGCTGATGCGATATGTTGGTGCAGTTATGTATATTGTGCATTGGCAGCACGCACTGTACTTGTACTCGTCTCTAGCCCCGGATACGCCTTCGCTATCTACCTCTATCCTACCCGGTACTCTTACATGTACGCTCTTTGCATCTATGCCCTTAATACTTTCTCGGTTTTCTTGATACTATACCATGCTACTACACTCGGTAATGCACTGCCGAATGTATCTCCGATGACGTCGCGGCGGGGTTCTTTAAATAATCCTCTTAACTTCCTCACTCTTCCTCTTCTTCTCTCTCTCCTTTCTCGCTTCAACTCATCTGGTCAATTGAATACAGTGCGTCTCTCTTCGGCCATTGAAACTATGCATTCACTTATGAGATACAGGCAGCTTCTAGCAACCCCTCTGCGCAAGTCTTTCACGCCCATTACCGCTCGTCCCACTTTCAAACCGTTCCTCTGTGTTCGTCCGATCCATTGCTCTTCCGCCATGTCCGGTGTTAGCAAGGCTTGCTGCCAGATCCCCCCTATTGTCGCCCAGGGATACAAAGGCAAGGGTGAATACAAGACCATCAATGGCTTGAAGACGTGTAAGAAGCATATACCCGGGATGTTATGACCAGAGCGCTAATTGAGTAGACGTTACCGGCCCCGAGTCCGCCTCCAAGGCCATCCTCGTCATCTACGGTAGGTCTACGCATTCTTCCGTGAAGATGGAATGCTGAGAGTCAGACATCTTCGGTTTCTTCCCCCAGACCATCCAAGGAGCCGACATCCTGGCCAACTCCAACGAGCAGAAGTACCGTGTCTTCATCCCCGACTTCTTCGAGGGCCAGCCCGCCGATATCTCCTGGTTCCCTCCTCAGACCGACGACCACAAGCAGAAGCTCGGCAATTTCTTCCAGACCAAGGCCGCCCCCCCCAACACCCTCTCCAAGATCCCCAATGTTGTGGCCGAGGCCAACAAGCTCTCCTCCGGCGGCAGCTTCGACTGGTCCATCCTGGGCTACTGCTGGGGTGGTAAGATTGCCGCTCTGTCTTCCGGCCAGGACAACAAGCTCTTCAAGTCTGCTGTCCAGTGCCACCCCGCCATGGTCGACCCCAACGACGCCAAGGCCGTGAACATCCCCATGGCTCTCTTGGCCTCCAAGGACGAGCCCCCGAATGACATCGAAGCATTCAAGACCAACCTCAAGACTCCGAACTACGTCGAGACCTTCCCCACCCAAATCCACGGCTGGATGGCTGCTCGTTCGAACCTGGAGGACACCGAGGTGCGCAAGGAGTACGAGCGTGGCTACAAGACCGTCCTTGACTTCTTCCACAAGCACGCCTAGACCGTGCCATGTAGTATAGAATGAATAATGACTTGACTTTCAACAATGCATAGTCATGTAGCCATCGTCATACCGAGGTATACCGTATGCGGAAGTGTGTCCCAGCTGACGTCATGACCGTTGTTCATTGCATTTGGTATTGGCTCTGACACTGTACTGTGGTTCTGTATAATTCTTGCTTGACATTCAACGGCTGCAAGTGCTGCAGTGTGATTGTGCGCATATACAAAACTGGATAGGCAGGAGGGTCACTTGACAGGGAGGGTCAGAAGCAGGTAAGTAACCGGGCACGAAGGCAAATGTCCTCATGTTGCATCATTATTCCAAGAGGCGAACGACCCTCGAGCCTCCCTGTCTTACGATCCTTTTTCCGGGGGATTCTCCTGCATAACGGTTTCACAGCCTGAAAGTACGAATAACCCGACTTTTCCCTATATCTAGACTACAAAAATGGCCTCGCCGTCCCATGCGAAGCCCCAGGCAGGCCCCGAACATCGCCGGAAATCAAGTCAGAACAATACGGCACAACTCTCAAGAGAAGACATCCACGCACTGTTCGTCGGAGCGCCGTATTTCCTCCTCGACGAAGGCTCGTTTGGTCTCTGGCAACCGCAGGTTATCTTTCCCTGGTGCGATCACGATCTTTTAATCCAGAAATTCTGGGACCGACGACCGCTTTCGCACTCCTCCTTCAGTCTATCTACATTGCATGCTCACCTGTCGGTACCCGATGGCTATGTGGTCAAAGGCGACACCCCAGCTCCTCTGCAGGGGTTACAACATACGGGCGGACCCAGACGGCCGACGTTTGACATAAGCGTATACGAGGTACCCAATATGCTGTGTTCAACGGCAAAAGAGCCCGGATCGTACGGGTTCCGCCATTTCCTGGAACTCCCCGTCGCAGACCAGGTTCGGTATACAGGGCCAGAGATTCCCAGGCCACGTCCTGGACTGCGGAGACCCTCCATGATGACCTCATCCATGGAGGCATCCGACTCTATCGAGCACCATTCCAACGATCCATATGCACAGTGTCTGGACGGGACGGTACACGACCGCAAAGCGATGCTCCTCGACGGACCATCGACATGGAAGCGCATCGGCGTGCGGGACCCAAATATGGAGAAACTGATCGAGCGTCTCGGGACGCTGCAGGAGATCCGCCACGATATGTTACATGCGGAGGTGGATAAAACAATATTGGATATGGAGACATTGGAGATCTTGCATCGAGATTTGTACTCGAAGTTCCTGCTTCCTCCGCCCCGGTCGATTATGGAAGAGGATGATCCGCATAGCCTCAAGTCGCAGATTCGAATGCTTACTACTGCCCTGGCGGCGCCGGGGGCGTGGATTAACTTTAGCCTGGAGGAGTGGCGTCTGCACGCTGGTCAGATTCTCTGGGAGATGCCGCCTCATCGGGAAGGAGACTGTCTCGACCTGGAGGAATGCGAGGACGCGCAGAAGCGGCCATGGGCCAATCCTGGTCTTGAGCGAAAGTGGCTGCTCATCCAGATGCTCTTGGCCAGCGAATTGCTTATTCGACTTGACGCTGTTTCTCGCGCCGGGGTATTGAGGGATCCCGAAGAGAATATCAGCGCGATTGATATACACGAATTTGACAAGCTTCGCGACGGAAAGGTAAACTGGGACTTGATTGTTGTTCGGCGATTTCTCGACAGCTTTGGGATAAGCCGTTGCGATAACCAAACGTCAACTCATAGCGAAGAAGGTCTGCATGGAAGACGTCGGTCTCTAAGAGATGCTTTCACCGTTCATCGTCGGTCGTCAGTCCATAGTGCCTCAGAAGCCGAGTCGGCCTGGGAATGCAAACTGACACCGTTCCATATCGAGCAGCAGCTACAGGGGTTATTCGTGTTTGCAGAGAACATCGGCTGGCCTCGACTAGATGTGCTGAAACAGCTTCCGTTCAAGGTCAACGAAGAAGTATACAGCCGTCCAGTATGCAGCGCAGCAACAGCCACTCTAGGCAAGGATGAGATGTACAGTCGCAATCCTTCTCGGCGCCAGATCCTCCTTCATAACATCGACAGCCAGGACAGCAGCGACCCGAAAGACAACGTCGGCTGGATAACCCGCAGCTGGCTTTCAGGCTTCGTACCGCCCGGAGAAAGCATCAGTCACCTCCTTCTCGCCACAGTCCTGGAGAATGATCCAGAGGCATTGTCCACACTCGGTCCCGTGGCCAATCTCTATGGCGGATTCTCGTATAACGGACGCAGTTGGTGGAGTAAGCAATGTATCGTCGGGCGCGTACTGGCCAGTCTACCAGAGACCATGGAGTGTATGGAATGGATTAGAAGCGAGATCCTGCCTGTTGACCGGTCGACATCACAGCCATTAAGCGGGAGATGGTTCGAGGCGAGAACCAAGGAATTGCCACCGACGAACAAGAAGCCGCGAATCCAGCAAGGGAATAAGATCTCACATTTCTCGACGCCACTGGGGGATGGTGATGTTTCGCGCGAGGCGTTTTCGTTACCGGTCGACCGTCCGCGGGAAGAGCTGGTATCTTTTGACCTGGACATGCTGTCGTTCATTAGCGAATCCGAATCCGAACCAAACGATGCAGGCGTAGGCACGCCAGCCATCTCATTCAATATACAGTCCAACTCACCCGACTGTCAATCGACAAAAGAATCAATATCCCTAACAAACAACGTCCACTTCATCACCTCCTACAACTGTCGCCCCCCGGCCGGAAAGGCCTCTAACAGCGACAACGAGCACGAACCGTCCCACCTTCCTGGCCACCCCCTCCACGCCTCCTTCGAATACGTCCTTGTCCCCACCAGCGCCCTCATCGGCGCCACCTCACTACACAAAGTCGTGCCCGGCGGCGAGATCCTCGTGATAGACGCACGGGGAAGCCCGACGCAGGAAACATTCGCACGCGCCTGGTGCGCGTCGACAGGGAGCAATGCGGTTATTGGTCGCGTGGGGAGAACGTGTCTGGCTTGTTGTATCCGGGAGACGAGGGCGGTGGATGTTAGTGTTGTTATTCGCGTGAGTGATGGGATTTGGAATCGAGCGGGGAGTTTGTATCCAGTGAATAGTTTGGCTAGTAATTGAGTACATAGTATGAGCATGACCATGGTGAACTACAAAGCACAACTACTGAACTACTAGCATTACGGTGTACTATGAGGATCGGCCGTCAACCACGGCCACGGTGCACCTTTTTCTTTTCCTTTAGCCGCTTACATACTCGACAGAGCACATAGCGAGAAAGAAAGAAATGAAAATAAAAATAAAAGGACTGCCTGGACTGACGCAAGGCTACGAGTACGTACTAGTCCTAGGCATACTAGGCACCATAAAGTACATATACCAAAAGCAGAGGTACCGCCGGAGCATCAGGCCGCGTAAGGCCCGTTGCAGATTGGTCAGGAAGAGACAAGTGCCCGAGCTGAAACAATCAGAAGTGGCCCAAGCGAGCAGAGAAGCAGTAAAGCGAGTGGAAGGCAAATGCAGAGCACCATATTCGAAATATATCAGGCTATATTAGGCTAATTGTCTGGCACATCGTGATATGGCAGTGGCAAGCCTCGAACAGCTGAACTCTCCCTGAACCGTGAGCCAGTGATTCTATGATGCTATTTGCTGGAGGCCGTTAGGGTCTGATTCGTGGCTGTGTTTGCTGCCGGATGTACAGATACTGGACCCTGGATTCCAGTTCATTTGGATCAGCTTGGGATGGATTCGGATGGTCTTCGGACGGTCTTCGGACGACTGACAGTGGCTAGGCTGGGCTGGGCTTGGCGATGATCGAGCCGCGTGGCAGAGTTTGTGTCATGATAGAATCAGAGTTTTCTTACATGGTTAAAACACAGAAATATCGACAAAAAGTACAGGTACATGAACACTATACAATTTTATATAGTGACGTGCTGCACGAGACATGGTTATCGTGTATCGGTACTTGCGACAGGTGAAACCCTGCATATCGGGGTTTTCGAGTTAAAAAAAGAACATCCACTAGGTCCACTCAGCATATACTACTACTCCGTATGTGCAGAATAATGTACCCCAGGAACTCTCCATATCGTATCAGAGTGTGTTAATTCTCCTAATATTCCAATGCTCTAATTCTCTGCATATTACTCCTGAATACTCTGCACTCCGTACTCCAGTCAGGAATACCCTAACAAATTTCAACTCTGGAACGATCGACTTCGCTTACGTATCCAGCACTAATCCGAAGTTGGTAAGGGTGTCCACGCAATGGAAAGGGGAACTGGCTGTACAGAGTACAGAGTTAGTCCAGGGAGAGGCAATCGACACTACTCTGCACTCGCACAGTACGAGGTGAGAACAGAACATGCTCTCAGCCCGGAGTGATTCCTACGTGACTTCTACGTAGGTACTGAATGTAAGTACTGACAGGCCCACTGCCCCATGGATTGAACCATGTCTAGCGTGTTTCAGAACTTCGACTCTTTTCTCGAAGGAGAAATGGTGTACGTAGACTACTAACTGGATACCCCAACCAGACACCGGCTCCTTAATCAAGATCTTCTATGGTAGATACTCAATCTACTCCGATACCTCCCAATAAGGCAACTCGGGGAACAGGGCGACGCATAATTGGCCTCCCAGGCCCACGGAGACAAGCCTCCCAAAAGGGCAAGATGTGAGCAGGACTGAAATCCGTGGATTTCTTACAGTAGTGTATGCGCAGAGTAGTCTAAATGACTGAGAGATGGTGGCAGTCGCAATACTTGCAGTCGCCATAATAATAATAATAAATAATAATAGAACAGGCAGATTCGATCCCCTGAAAAATAAAACCCTGAAACGCAACCCTATCGAGCCTTTCATATGATATTTGCCCATGTCAAGCATTAACCGAATTGGCTATTAGTCTACTTTCTAGAATTGCCTTTATTCCTCTCTTTCTTTTCATCATTTCTATCTCTTTCTTCTCTCTTTTTTTTTTTTTTTTTTTTTTTT